TAACACGGCTGCATGCGTCGTTTTTCCCTCGGCTTTTGCTAGCTCGGGAAACAGTGACTCGGGAGCAGCAAGCGGAACTCCGGCCCGTTAGGTGTTGCTTTGACAAAATTTTACTTCCTGTCACGTGTTAGAGGAACGTCCTACAGGCAAACGGTACACAGAGTCAGTGTTCTTAGATTTCAGAGGCGCACATAGGACCTGTGAGAGCTTACGCAGAGCTTTACAAAAGAATCCGTCAAAGGTATTCACATTTCCATTCCTGTTTGACTATAAAATCGATGAAATAATAGGAAAAACACTGGAAATAGTGAAAACCCTGGTGTTTAATTAACTTTTGGCGACAACGTTGTCGATATGGAATGTGCAAACGATATCGTTCTCGTTTTCGAAAAGGAAGAAAAGCCGCAGTTGTTTTTGAATAAAGCCACCAAAGTCTCCGCATCCTTCAGTGTGCAGTTTGCAATCACAAAGTGTAAAGCTGTGCTCCTTGGCGTGCAGTCACTGAACACGCCACTTACAATCCGGGGAGAGTCACTCGAAGTTGTGGAGTGTTTTAGCTACCCTAAAATTGTGTCAGTTCAGATTGTTGTTAAGTATCCCGATACGGAACTTTGAGTGACGCGTAGGTTCAACAATCCCGAATATCAAAAGGAAGAATTGGGTTCGTAATTCTACGGTACTATTACGCAAAGGGTAAGTAAATGTGTACAACAAACCTCAATTGTTCACGTTCGTGGCGTCAACACGTTCACAAGTCTGTCACTGACCGGCACAGTGCAGTGTCAACGTCCGCACACCAAACAACGGCGAGCGGAATGACGGCTCAGAAGCGTGGGTTGTAGTCGTTCCTTCCGACGACGGTCGCGTGATTCTCATTGGACGTGCGATCACGCGGAGCCCATGTGAAAACATGTCAAGGCAGGTCCAGCAAACGAGACACGAACGCACTTGGATAAGTAGGTCAGCAGCGCACATTTACGCACAGACACACATGTCAATGTACAAGTGTCAGAAAGGACGGCCTCTGTGGCAAGGTGAGTGGCGGGTCCGAATAAGCAAAACAACCGGAGGACAAAAGTACATAGGCGGGGTAAGCAGATGAATGGGGGAATTATCATTAGATCAAGTTAGATTCAACAATTGTTGTGTGACAGATGAGGTCAGTGCACGATTCTCCAAGGTTAGTTTTGCGTTTTCCTATTAAGGACACCTATGGTAATAAAGTGGTATATCCCTGAATATCGAGGGAGGTAAGCCTCAGGTTACAGTGTGAATTGTTTTGTCCTTTGGATGTGAGACTTGGCCATTTCTAGCAGCGAGACTGAAACGTCTTCAGCTTTTCGATAATCGTTGTCTCAGAACGATAGTCCGTGTGAGTTAGTGTCGGCGAATCCTTGGCAAGGCAATTATAAAGTAGGGTTTTTGTTTTCTCAAAGGGGGCGTGCATCAAGAAATGTGTCTAGCATCAGAAGCTGCGTTGTTTATCCCACCTAATGTGCTTGCCGAACTATCCTTCACCATATAGTGTGTTTTTCACGATCCCACTCCGTGGCAACGGAATGGAAGAGACGGATAAATTTCAACCCATTAGAATGGTATGAAAGAGATTACGAAACATTTGGGCACCCTCGGTGCTAATCACCTTCCAGGCTGGAGACTGCGTGATCCCCACTGCACCTAGTTGGAGACACAGCAACATATGGCTTCTGATTGATGTCAGTGGCGTTCTTGTTGTCATTTCCTATCCAGATCGTCTAAATGAAATGCCTGGAGTTTTGGGCACCTGAGCATAACTGCATTACACTGGCAATAAGTCCCTTTTTCATCCACTTTCAATGTTCTTTTCAAAATAAGGCCTTCAAGTAAATCATGGTTGTGCAGCAGTAGAGCATTAGTGTTGAACACGGATATCATGCTCACGTTGATGATGATGGTGATGATGATGAACAAGGAAGCCATGAAATACTTAGTTCTTTGGCGAAGCAGATGACAGGAAATGAATGAAACATATGTTGTGCTAGGGTTACGTATACGGAGGTTCACCTACTAGAGACAAGACGCCAAATTTCATTTCACCTTCGTGAAAATTGTTGAAAGTTATTCAAGTGGAATGTATATCTAATGTAAGGTCTTTGGTTTTATGCTATACGGCAAACATCACTTTTTCGGTTAAATATATCCACGAACATGCCAGTACTTTATTTTATCGACCTCACCAGCTGGAAACACACGTAGTGTTTCTAAAAATTTCCTTACAAACGGGTTTATCCTCAACTCCACGGCAGAACTAGATTAACATGCACTAAAAATTTAAATAGCTGATAAAAATATCTAATGGTCACATAATAAAGAATTGGTGAACGACATGGTTTCTTTAGTTTAGAAAGGGCTGGTCAATTCTGCTGGAGGTCAAAAATTTTCTCAGTGAATACAAACATTACGCGTGTTCCTTAACTCACATTTATCAAGGTCCCCTAGTGAATTTTCACCACCATCTTCTTGATATGCGGAGTCGAAATGAAGACCATCATGCACGTTTTGTGAGTTTATAAATGCCAGAGCGGATTCAAACAGCTCCAAGTTCATAGTGATAAAGCGTGTTTTACAGGTGCATTCAGCGAGTGTAGACTAGTGAGTCGGTATTAACATGATTTAAACTGAAATTGGCGGCATTGTTCACCATATTCCCGTAAAGATATGTGTGCTCAACAGTAGAAAAATCCGAATAACTTACTTTTTTTGGTTTCCTCCCCATTTTATTGCTATCTCCGTTTCCAGGTACATGGAAGTCCTCTGTGGTTTCGAACAGTTTACCTCCCCTTTGGAGAGAACCGTTAAAAAAATTTTAAAACCTTGTTTTACGGCGGATCAAAATTTGTTCAACTGTAAGAATGTGTAACATAGTTAACGTGTTGCTTCGAAATGTACATAGTCCGTGGGCGGGATCTGACGAATAACAACCTAATGTGTTGATAATCATGAAGACAGTAGTCAAATTTTCCCTTAAAGCGTTTGATCCTGATTGGGATTAATGAGATTCTTTTTCCTGCTTTCTTTTGAGAACAAAGTCTGGGTATATCACTGTCTCACGTTAGTTCATAGAGAAAGTAGGCCAATGTGATTCATTGGCCCAAACTAAGCGATAACATCTTAGATGATTTAAATTTTTGAGGACGATCACATGTCATCCTTAAATTTTGCACTCCTAATGCGGAGTTCGTTTAGTTTCTGGATTCGGGCTTGTGTTATACAGCATGTGTGCTTGAATATATGAATAAAGATGCACCTTTTACCAACAATGTTACATTTTAAATACTGACTTTCACACTTCTTCATTTTTTATACTTTTACAAGTGAACTAAAGTATTACTTCTCACCGGATTACTGGATGTCGTTGGTTTGCAAGCAAGGAACACCTTAGATGGAGTAGTACCAACGCGTGGTTTATTGAATCTGTCCTTGGATCCTTATTTTTTGGTTAGCTTCTTACTGGTTAGCTCGTTGCCAAAGTGGCGCCCAAGGTTTCACACAACACCAGAGCATGACTGAGTTTACGATAGCTCTTGTCAATCCAGCCACCTTAACCGCAGATCTCATTGTGTCTTGCAAACTTCCAAGAAACCCTTCTGCTTGTTCCTCACAAAATTGTCAGACTAACTCAACCCTTTTTAAATTTCATTCACAATATATCTGGTAAGCAACTGTTAACTCCGAATTTCATATTTATAGACGAAAGAAGTCAGTAACCGTGAAAAGCTGGGATATATTAGGAGTGCGCTTTGAATTAACTTGTCAAATGACGTCCGGTTATCGTGCTGCTCATTCATCGCGAGACCCACAAGTGATAATCGATTAGCGTTGGGCCAAAAAGCGTTTGATCATTTAATAAAGGGATGCTAAATTCTGAATATTAGATTCTTTATTGGAAAAGGCAGTGGTGTAGATGCACTCCCACTCTCCAAAAGTTCCCTCTGCTTGCATTCCGCATATATTCCTTTTTTGCTCTCCCCTCACACCATCGGTAAAATACATTTCGCAGGACATTGAACAGATCGAGAGGAGAAAAACCAGTTATTGCCAGCTTCGAACACAATAGATAACAAGATAACAACAATGACAGTGCAATCCAGAATGGCGATAATTTGAATTGCATAATGTCATTTATCCGTGGCAGGACTTTTCGGGGGGTTAAAAAATCGTACCTGCTTTGAAGGAATCGCATATAATGTGATCAACTTAGAAAAAACTGTGATTCTCCACACCAAGTATTCCACAGAACAAGCTTCCTTTACATGTAGTGGTCTAACCCGATGACTAACGTGGTTATCTGGATTTACACCTTGTTTGCACAATTACCTCTAAACAATAACATTAATACAGGAAAAATACCCTGGATATTAACAATTCCAAATGGCCTTTCCTGGCGATCTTTGGTTACCCATCGTGGCAGTATCTCTGAGAATATTCTAAGTTCTGGAGATCCCAAACTGTTTACTTTGTCAAATAGCTTACGAACGATTGCTTAAGGTCTATCCCATTTGAGCTGGATATAGCGGTTTGCTCATCGAAATATAATGTGTTACATTTTCCATTCCACCCTCCATTTCTGCAAAGCCTTCCGTAGCAAGTAATTCAAACTGTGTTCTTGTGGTTGCCCGCGTAGAGGCAACAGGTAAGAAATCATTTTTCGATGAATTAAGCTGAATTACGCATTTTTGTCGCCTTTCGGTTGCTGCTATTATACCAAACTCAGAAAACAAACAGATCAGAATTTGGAGATGGCCTACATGCACATAAACTAGGTATGTTTATCCCGCACCTGTTGTTGATCATTCACTAGAAGCATACGGTTAGTGCATTCTTGATGAACATGGATGCAGACAGGATAACCTTAGTCACGGCTGATTGAGAGGGTATTCCAGTGTATGTATGGTGAAATGTTTATTTCATCCGGCCAAGAGACCCAAACCCTTCTTAACTATCTTTTTACGTTAATTTAGATAAAGCTGCGTGAGTTAGAAAAACGTTGTGCACTACAGCAGTTGCTCCAGGAGGAAGTTTTACTGGAGCTGGAAGGTGCGAGGAAACGAGAACGCTTGACGGAAGCAAACGAACAACTCTTCAGTTCAGCAGATCAGGCCTACCGATCTACCCTGGCAGATTTTAGCAACATTTCACTGTCCACCAGTGGACTAGCAAAGGTTGACTACGCCAACTATAACCGGTCGACTGAAGCGACCGACTTTTCCTTAGGCTCTGGAAGCACAGGTTCCACAACACGTGTGAATATCAAACGGTGCGTTCTAGGGAGTGGCCCTGTGGCTGTTGGAAAACCCGGTGAGTTATTTGTGAAGCATCCGGTTATTCTTTTTAGGCCTTGCTTATAAGACACTAAGTGCGTTCTGTTGTGGATTCGCGTTATCTTTTAACACAGCAACGTAGGAGATCAGATTCCAATTTCTATCACAACGCCCTAAACTAGGTGCACAAAAAGCATATCTTAAGTCTGTTATGGTCAATGTATTTAGTTTCATACATAAGTCAGAGCAACTTCTAATTGGAATGCACAATCCACGAAACTCATCTTGATGCAAAATAAATGTAATGATGTATTTACTGTACCCTTGAAGAGTCAATAAAGCTTACTGCGAATAACTGAGCCTTCATCAAGAATCTGATTATATACGCGGAGCACCTGAATGGTTTTGACATTGCATGTTTCAGAATCTCATTGTTCATTTGTGATAAGTGTTCTATGCTATTCAACACAAGCTGGGTATGCATGCCGAACGATAAAGCACTCTACATAATATTGTGTACAACCTTATGTTCCGAAAAGATGTCTCTACTGATAAACAGTCGATCTTTGGGAACAGTTCAGCTCAGCAGAATGTCAATTCTTTGGAGATGCATTGCAGTTTGGGTATCCGAAGCCACCACTGCTCAGTTCCAGTTAATCTTTTCTCGTGTAGTTGCAATTTAAAATTATCAAAGTCAATATAAAGTTTGTGAAATAGACGCCACTTTGTTCTCTTGTGTGAATAAAGCCCACAAAACAAGGCAAAATCATGAAGCGTTAGTGGGCACTACAACTTGGAAAGCTAAGCTTATTTCGTTCAGCTTACACGCGAACCCCGTGTTATTCTGAATTCCGAAGTCTTAAGACCTACTGTTAGTTAATTTGAATGCCATTATCAACAAATTTGAAAAACCTTTCGATATTTTTCTGAATAGAAGATTTTGTATTTCTCATTTTGAGGAGCTTGATCATGCTTTACTCCGAGTAAGTTTTAATAGACAGAACAAAAGTTGCAAAACACGATCGGCAGGGACACTTAATGAGACTGCTAGGTTTACTACAAGCTGAAATATGGTATTCTTCATATTCAGGAACAGCAAGCCAGGAAATGAGAGTGGATGATTTTGATCCATAAGTCAAGATTATTTGGTTCAACATACCTGAACGGGTCGGATACATTAAATCCATCTGTAAGTCGTAAACAGCAAGGCGCCCAACGGCATCTCTATTTTTTTCAAAGCTGAAGAAAGAAAACAATTAGTGAACTAATGCTAAGCCATTTTGGTGACTCCAAACATTCAGTTTGCAGTTTTGAAATTGCAGCAGTTCATTCTGCGTGTACTAGATAGGTTCGAATGTCTTTCTGAAAAGAAAGTTGGGGGCTAGAATGCAAACTCTGTTTATTTTTGTTTTCTTAACAGAAATGCTAAACAGCTGATGAAAGTTTTTTTAGATGGTTTGAAACCTGGACCATTGTATCGAAGGGCGCCACAGATTCCTGTTGCACTTGGCGCTGATAGGGATATCTGATACCGTTGGAACCAAAATACAAGTGCACGTAAAAAGAGAGCTATCGACGCCTTAACCAACACTCGGGCAGTGTGCTTTTCAGTGTTTTGTGTGTACGTAATTAAGCACAATTTATTCAAAAATTGCTAAAAAGAGTATCTAAATTCCAGAATCGATACGCACGAATGCTCGGTCCATATGAGTGCGACAATATTATGATGAATTTAGAGAAGTCACAAAAGGGAGGGCAGTAACTTGCCACCAAACCACTCTTGTTCAACAGTCCGCGCTCTGTCTACCAAGGACCAGTCTTTTTATTCCACTCCAAATAAGGAGACGATTTGGTTCAAATTTCGCGGCGTATCACATACGCGCATTTTGTGCTGTGCTGGAGATCTGGAACTCCCTTATTTAACATGTAATGCTTGCGTGTTACCACTACTTCACCAGCGTTTGTTGGTTTCATTTCAGTCACCAATTCACATTCGATAAAAAAAGCTAGAGCTGATACTGGCATCTAGACAGCCGTTACTGTACTGTGACAGTTATAGTACTTTAAAATGATTAAAGGTTGAGCGTACAGTAGATCACCCCATAGCATCTCAGTAATCATGTAATGTTCCGATGAATATTGGGGACATTTTGAACACTTACCTGGTTCTGAGATTATTACTACGGTTGACTAGGTGTAGGCAATTGCTCACATGCACGGTATAAGAGCTACCATGCTGGCTTCTTACGCTACAACAGTGTTTGTGGTCACATGGATGCGGGAATATTAAGTATATGGCAAATGCAGTTCAGAAAAGATTAACGGTTCTATCCTCAGTCCATTATTTGGCCGCTTCTAATGTATTCTGTTAGCAGGTTAAACTAACTCCGCCAAAGACTATTCGATATCCTCAAAGAGATAAATATACTGCATTTCATTCTTGGGATCGATTTGGTTGATTAGTTTGCCATTTGAGGCCATCTGGAGAACTAGATGACCACGTAATTCAGTATACAAACAATGATTCGATTTTTACAGGAAACCATTCATTTTTAGCCTAACATATAAAAGACCAGTCTATTTGCTGTCTGCGTCCGATTAAGAAACAGGACAGACTCAAAATTGGTGTTAGCGTACCCTGGGTAACATTACATTACTTTTGGAGTTATTTGGGTGATCTGTTCGGTTTTTATTCCAGACAAGTCATATGATTATCAGTTGCGTAAGCACCTTTATTTTAGGGTATTTTAAAGGAATGAAGTGACTTAATGTATGTATCTATCAAGATTGGTTAGATTATGGTTCCCAGTTAAGCTGATAACATCATGTTTTTAATATAAACGGGTCTCTTCAGAGCTTCGACTATGTTGCATACTTTCGTTTTATAATTTCTGACTTATTCTTGGCATAGCTGTATGCTTTTCTCATGGTTGTCCTGAATAGTAAAATATGCTTCGTAACACATGTTAGACGGAGCAGCTGTCAACCTTTATATCCCGTACAAAAAAACAATACCTTCATAGCCTGAAATCGACGTCTTGGTCGATAAGTGGAATTCAGCTTGCTGTATTTTTGTCTGATGATTGTAGCGAATCTGCATCCATTTTGAGGAAATCGTGCATTGGCACAATCTCATGGTACGGACCGCAGCCATCAAGTAATAAAATAGAAGAAACTCAGCTTGGGATGTTTTTAAATTTTGCTTTCTGCTTTCGTTTGACATTTTCTTGTTCCCTGAAAGTGTCATAACCGGTTTTACAAATTCGGAGTCACTATATTTCCAGAAATCATCCCCAGAACTTCTACAGAATTGTGGACATATCGAAGATTGTACGACGTAATACGTCATAAACAGTCTGAATGAAAATCTGAATGCAGTGGTACAGTAAACACATGTATACCTGCAGTCCGAGTGATATTGATAGGGCAACGGTTGGCATAAAAACCACATTAAATGAATTGAAAATTTTTATCCAGCTCGATAAAGTGCCTCCAGTTTGCTTTCATCGGATTCCATAATTTCAGAGCTCAAAATGCACACCACTAGTGAGCCAGACTATGAGCGAAAATGTACTAAATTGCCTATCTGTATTGGCGACATCTCAGGTGAGAGGAAATCTTGAACAAATCTGATGTGAATGCGAATTCCGAGCACTGAACAACTGCTAGCATGTATTTATACAGTCTGTCTTGAATTTTTTGGGACTATTTAATTCTGAAGATCTACCAAGGCAATTTGGGGACTTTTGCTTATACTTTTACAAGCTTAATTCCAACAATTATCCGGGATTCCCTAGAGTGCTACTGCATGAGTTATACCACATCCTAAAATATACTGAACTGCAGAAAACTGACGATGACCAATAATCCCACTGCAGGAATCACCATTTTTGAGCTCATAAGTCCAGGATTTTCCATTAGGTATATTCTACACTTGCACAACGAGTTGGAATTGGGTCAAAGTAATCACTGAGTTGAATAGCTGGTTGACCGAAAATTAAGCGAATCGCATTTACATCTTCTGGGTAAAACATTGTTGAAATGTGTCAAACAGAGGTTGTCAATTCTCTGCGTTAAAAAGTTATTCAAGAAATAATGTTGCAATTCTTTTACCGACACCGTTGAATAAAACTCTGATAGACATCCATCAGGCCTACCGTGAGTGGTTAAGACCCAGTGCCCTAGTCACCAAATTTTTGTCCATCGTTCATGGTGATTGGGCGTCCATGTAGATGTATCATTTGAACAAGCCTTGATTTACAAATTAGGCTAGGTTGACGAGAGGTTCAAATAAACGTGTTGTTTTCAATCAATTGGAAAAGGTTTGGAACCGATTTGGAAATCACCGTTTCAGAAGGGCTTTGTAAACAAACTTGTTGTTTGTGGCCATTTCTCATTTTAAAACCCGTGTTATTTGCAGCTGTGCGGTCATCTGTAGATATTTGTCAACTAGTTGCACGAATGGACGTCGATTGTTAAAAGAAGGCAACAAAAGTACTTCCATGTTTGCTATTGCGGTGGTAATTTATAAAATGTTTATGATTCACGACTTGTTATTATTAATTTATGCAGAAAGTGCATCTTCCGGATGGTCCAACTAGGGCAGCGCCGTGCTTAGTTCTGGCTAGGATACATCAGTCAGGATTAAAGCGTACTTTACTTTAATTCGTTAAATGCAGCCCTTAATCGATTTTTAGTCTTCCATCTTTTGAGTGTGAAATCACTTCTGATCGAGGAGCCAAACTAGTGTCCAATATGCCGTCTGATAATCACAGCACAGCAGTTGTTGTTGTACTTGCTACCAGCTGCATTGTATTCCATAAGTTCGAATAACTTCATGCCAAGTTCTGTTTTTCTTTACCAGCATCAACGATAACCGTACTGAATAGACTTACTTTCCTGTACCCTACAGTGACTTCTGATGAACAAGATCCAAACCTTGTGGAACTGTTTCAAACTTCAGACGAGCCCTTTGAGATAAGCGGTAAGCATTTTTGCTAAACGTCCACTGGATGCTTGGCTTTGCTTCATAAACAGTAGCGTTTGGAAGTCAAAGCATTGCATAATCTTCTTGGTTAATTACACGTGATGTCCGTTTTTTCTTTGGGACAGATATTCGTGCCCCTCGAATGCTTACCCTCGAACGCCAACTTGTGCATAGTGTTTTGATTAGTTGGAAACCCCCTGATGTAACCACCACTGGCCAAACAGTTTCCGCTTACCATGTATACGTTGATGGACAGTTTCGGCTGGCGGTAAAGGCAAAAGAAAAAACCAGAGCTCTGCTGGACAGAGTTGATGCAGACAAAGTAAGTTTTGTAAAAATTGTTTGTGTATTATACACAGTAATGTCATTGAAATGTTCAACGGACGAGGAACACCAATTATATGAAGCTGCTTTCCGTTTGATATTACCAACATTCACAATCGCACAAATGACGCTACCAGTATATTCGCGCACACGGAAAACCCAGGAGCAAATTTCTTTATTCTTCGGAAAGTCTTACAAAAAGTCTGAAATCCAGCTTATGCTGTAATCTAACTTGTGCTGTATCAACAACCAAATCGCGGTCAACAAGGAACGTATGAAGGTAGGGAAATGATTCGGAATTTTACATCGGAAGGAACTCAGTCTCTTCCACATGCAGATTGATCCCTGCTGGTGCCCTCAACAAGCAGCAAGTGTCGCTTTGCGAAACTACTGAATAAAACGCTTTACCGCATGAACTATGGGTTACCGAGCGTTTGCCATGGAGGCGCCATTCAGTATATAGCAACTCAGATGGCTGGACTGCTATCAGCCTCTCGCCCACATAGCACCAGGTGAATTTTCTATGAATATCCTGCACCAAGATCCTCACGGACGGATCTCAGGCAGTGGGCTGTATTGTGAGACAAATTACATTAGACATTGTTTAGACGAAATTATTCATCTTTCTTTGCATGTGATTTTGATGAGGTGATTATGTAGACGAATTTCAAGCTGACGATGGTCATATGGTTAGCGATATCGATCCTGGGTGTCGCCTGACACTCATTACAGTTGTGGTTTTTAACTATAAGTTAATCTGGAAAACAATCGAAATTGCGGCGGAAAAAATGTAACAGAGAACTGCAGTGAGGCGTGACTATTCTCTCATGCTACTTGTTACCCCTGATGGAAGCCATGGTTAACATCGCATAATACCAATAAATAGTGGCGAAATAATTATGACGTACGTATCGCTACAACAATTGCTTTTGTCGCTTTGTTTACTTGCTAAGCCGCGCCTGATCTCTATTTTGGAACAGAAGAGCAATTAAGCAATTTTCTAACGTTGAGAGGTGACTAGTTTGAACAGGAAATCACAGAAGATCGGATCAAACAATCAAGGTAATTGATCCATAGTGTGGATGCAATAAGTCAGTCGAATAATTTTATAAAACCCTGGCGAGAATTTGGCCAATTTCTTGACAGAATAGGAAATAACACCATCTGTTCCCCATTTTGCTTTTACCTTTTTTTCAAACTTCTGTTGGTTCACTAGCTTTAAATCTTGATTCTACTCATCTTCTGACTTATTTGGTTTCCCTAAGGTTTTCGTGCCTTCAAGCCATTGGGGTTTCTATCAAGCATCCAAAACCACTCAAGTGTTTGTTGCATTCTTGATGAAATCCAACAGTGGAGCAAACTCATACTCGTTTCAGGAGTTATTCACTCTTCTCACACTATCCTCACTTTTTCGAAACTCCCAGTTTCCGGTTCCAGCTAGAACTCCTAGGTCCGTTTCATTTCTAACATCAGTTTTGAGTTCGTGTAACAATCTGGCAGTATTTCATCCCCCACTCCATTCGTTTAAATGGCCTATTTTTACTGTCAAAATGTAACCGCGCGTACTTCTACCCGAATGATCCTGGCGTAAGGGACACAGTAAAACAAGCAGCTTAGTGACATTCATGGCACGGTTGATAATCGATAAACTACCGGAAACTAGTTGCAGAATGATAGAGGGAAGGAAAGAGCAACTCTGATCAATCGATGGATTTGTATTTACTCTGACATGCTGATTTGGCGGAGGGAGCAGTAAGGTTCCCTGTTACCTACTACTGAATGATTACAAATATTGTGTTGGTCATTTTGAAATTCATCATAAAAATTCGGGATAAAAAAATCGAGAACAGCACACTTTGTCAACTGCTTATTTCACAAGAAATTAAAATCATGCTCGAGATTCAGTATATCTTTTTTCTACAGCACAAGCAGATCTAGTGCGGTAGTATATGGCTGGCAGAAAGGCTATGATCTCTCTGTACTCAACTGCCTTTGACATTCCATACATTTTCCTTGAAAAGCAAGATAAAAACCGATGGTTTTGTTAACGGGAGTGAGAATTTAGTGGAAAGTGGTATTTCGTTAGCCAGCCTACTACCGCCCATAAAAACAGGCTTTAAGTAGAAGCAGAGCTCAAAATACAATGCTCAAACAGACCGGAGTCTACGTCATCCTCCTGACGCCAGAGCACAACGACCAAAAACCACATTATCAAACAAAATGCTTCTAGCGTCATTCACTAATTATTTACTTGTCTAGGCAAAAGGTCTTCCGTCTTCCCTAAAATTTGATCAACCTATCTCGACAAAGCCCATGTCAATTTTGAAAGTATGCCGAGTAACAAATGGTTTCCACAACATTCTCCAGCAGGCGAGTTTTGATTGGTTACAAAAGTTTTCCAATTGAACTCAAGATATAAGGACCTTTTACTCCTTCATAAATTCAAACTCTGGTAAAAAAAGGACTGTATTTTGGTAGATGTACGCTCACGAACAAAACTTGACCGTTTGCTGAGGTACAGAGATACAAAGTAACGGAGAACAATTGATGAAGAAATTATTTTGAGTGTGAAGCTCCCGGTAGATTAGGATTTTTACTTTCGGTGCTTGTTATTCAGGAGAGATTCGCATCTCGCGGTTTGGAAGTGCGCCTGAGCACAAAAACCAAAATTTTTTTGCATTTAGGAAGGGTATAATTTAGTTTAGTTAGCAGCCAATGACTGGAATATTCCATTTGAAGTAGTATACTCCTCTTATTCAGCAACCACTTACTAATTACGGTAGTAGCCTCGTTTTTAAAATACCGTAAGGTAACAATATGTCCAGGTTATGGAACCTATGTCCAATGAGTTATCCGGTCAGTCCGATGAATACGGCTAACATTAGAGTAACATTCCAGAAGGGCAAGACTGCGCCGGGTGTTGGTGCATATGAAGGATCGCATTCCGGTTGATGGGACTAGGAAGTGGGTACTCAAAATAAAATGTAACGACTGCACAAAGGTTTATATAGGTCAGACAGCCAGGGAATCGCACATCAGAATCGGTGAATGTGAGCGTTTCATTAATAGACCACTGAGAAACGTAGATGAATACCAGGCAATTGTCAAAGATTCGGCAATGGCAAGGAATGCACTAAACTCTGGACATAGGATAGATTTAGAAAATGTGCACATCCTGGGACGGGGTTAAAATTCACACCACAGCGTCTGTTGGCCAAGGCGGTGGGAATCGCCAAGCATCCCCGTGTGAATAGAATAGAGGGGTAAAACTTGCAAACGTGTGGAGAGCTGACACAGCGGTGCAATTATCAGCAAAATGGTCTGGGTCTAATTAACCACTCTCACCCCCATCCTCAAATGAATAGTCCCGGTACCCTTTGACGGACACTGTTGTCCTAGACTGAAAAAGCGAGGTCAACAAAGAGTGGGTGCAACGTGAAGATAATTCTCCACTCTAACCAATCTATCATAAATGTTAGTTATCCCCATAAACGAAAAAAGCAGGAACATCAAACTGAACACCCTGCACTGATCAAGTCGGCTAGTCATAAGGAATCTCACGGATTGGTTCTCTGACTGCCTTAAAACCCAATCAACCTTCTTACTTATTTGGTCTGTCGAAGCTTTTGTGTCACAAGCGAAACGTTGCCCAGCTATAAATCCACCGGCTGCTTACAAAACCTCTCTGATGAGACGAAACTACTGGCTTAAAAATCTATGCAACAGCAAAGTGGTCATACTTACTCACCGACTCGATCCCATCAGAATCTTCAAGCACCGATGAGGTCTATTTATAACGTCTTTGTGATATTTGTATTTTGTTTTTCGACCCACACATCATCCAAAAGCACTAACTTGCACCAACTTGTTTAGAACATGTGGCTACTCGGAGGCGGTCTTCATAAAATTTTGGACAGTTTATCTATTTCTCAGCTTTTCTGTGCTCTCCGTATACCAACTGAAAAGGTTTTTTACAAGACACTTTAACAGATAGCTTGCTGTGGCATTTTCAGATGTCCACAAGTTTGGTATCATTTATTCTGTTACTACACTATACTATCCAGCTAGAGGTGACTAACAAAGGTTTTTCTCTGGACCTGTGACAATTCCCAGGCTGAGAAATTTAAGGTCTCTTTTGAGATCTTTATTTATGAAACAACATGGGCAGAGAGGCCAAGCAGCCAAACCCTGATCAGTTGAATATTAGTTCACAAGCTTATTCACTGACTTACTCTGTCACCATTGAATGTTAACTAATTCACTCTTATTTCAAATTAGCAAATGCGGCGTTGTTTCGGATTCCGTGGAATACAACTCATTTCGTCAGTAGCTGAATAGACAGTCTAGGTCGTCTAGATCGAGTTCTGTCAGACGTATTAGTCCACTTCACTCAGAGATAATCATCTCCATTACAGGTCTGTTCAAAACACGTTTTCGGCCAACCCATGATGATTTGACAGTAGTATCTAACAGAGTACTCTGCAGGAAATAGCTTCCTACTCACGTTTTCTACCTGTTGAGTTTCTTTATTATCTGTTCGTTTTTTTTGTGGTTGAAATGTCTCGTTACGATTCCTTTGGGAGCCTAAATATTGGGTAATTCCCTATAAGATTTCATGCAGATGTTTATGGAATATTTTAGTAATATTAAAACAGATGTCAGAGACTCCTGTAAAGTGACATTCTCAGGTGACAAATCACTGTAATGAGCATTGAGAATTCATACTCCTACAGGAAAAATGCATTGCTTCGTGAGCAAAATACACCCAATTAAGAAAACTGCTCAAATTCCTCAGCAGAGTCATGAGTTTTTCCTGCATTTCCGGTCATCCGCGAAAATGCTCGTTAGTCAACCCATTGCTTTAAGTACAATTTACTGTGGGTCGAAATTTTGGGTTAACATTACGCACAAATAATCTGACATTCATAATGTGGACTGGTAGCTTCAGATACCGATTGCTTCTACGTATAAATCAGGATGAAAATGTTTTGGCTGAATGCTGCTTCTGAACTCAATTTCATGACTCTAGTATCAAACAAAGAAACTTCGATTAATGCCGTTGCAATAAAATCACCTTAAAGTCTGTGTGCTACAAATTATTTGGACTAATAACAATATACTTCTGTTCACTGGTTGTCATTGCTCTGGAAATAGCAATAACAACTCGCCCAACTTCTTCTCTCACACACCCATGTGTATGGGCTGTTTGCCCTACATTTGTGCATAAAATTTGTGCACTTGTTTGTATTATCGTGAATTTCTTACCATCAACATCAGTGAAGTCCCAGATTTTGTGACTAACGAAAGTGAAAATAACGAAGAACCACTGAAGATGGGCCCTTGTCACCAAATGGTCTTTCAGTGCCATTTTCCTGATGAGAGCCCCCTGACCTTTTGTGAAACCAGCGCCAGTGAGCACACCAAGGTCTAGTGGTGTAGTGGGATCGATTTAAAACTTCACTCTTTGGTTGTACAAGTGAGAATTTGAATGAGGCCGTTACCAAGTACATGGCGTGAGAATCGTCAGATTATACGTAATTTAGGTGCGTTCACGGTTGGTTGATAAGGTGACCGTTTACTTGATCGCTGAGTTTGGCAGTTGGCTCGCAAACTATCTGTAAGCAAATGTACTTATTTGTTGGTTCGAAATTCATGTTCAGACGTTCTGAAACGCATCGCACCACAATGGAGGTTAAGATTAAACAAAGAAGCGCTTATAGAAAGCTTTTCAAAGAAATGGATACCCGAATAGCTCCATTGTGTAAACCCTCAAAAAACCCAAATTGGCTTACCAAACCGCGCAAAAAAGAATACCGAATGATTTTTTCGTATGGTAAAAATATTTCAGAAATCACTGAAACTTTGTGGTCTGCAAACCGGCGGACACAAAGTGCGGATAGCTCGTACAAACTCCAAAATAAAACCAAGCACGATTACGAGGGACAGCTTCATACGCAAGGTTTGTACGAAGCTTGTGGCAAATAATACAGGAAGTAGCCTGCATGGGAGATCTTTAACAGGCCGCAAGAGGACAAACTTCCTGTCAAAAGACCCTCTCATTTTTCACATTTATCCGTGAAAGATGATAGGGATGGGCACGTACCAGACTGGAAGGAAATGCGCAAACTAGCTCAGGCACGAACAGATAAACACGTGAATTTAAGTACGGGGTACTCGACTAAATTTCCTATCAACAAACATATCAAATTCGACCTTATCTTTTAACCGCTGAGGACAAAGGATTCAAAGACCTAAAATTTCGAAAATTCGCGAAAGATCAGGGAAAACATGTACAGAAGGCGAATCCAACTACAAATGAATAACTAAGCCACCTGTGACGTAACTTAAACCAAGAAAACAAAAAACGCATTTGAAGAAAGAGGTAAAAACCGTTCACATAGGAAAGCATACGAGCAGCCAAACAAATGTAAAGGACAAGGAAAACAACCGTGGCAATCAAAATGTCTAAACGACCAAGCAAAATCGACAAAAGAATCATATTAACATGCAACGACAAATCAGAACAGACGAATCAAATCGGAATAGTGAAATAATAAAAGTAGGAGCCTATGTAAGAACTAATCAGGCAAAGTGAAGACAGACCACAAAACAACAGTAATCAGGTAAGTAGCGGGAATTATTCGAGCAGAAGCCAGCCAACGCACAAATTCATTACAAAGAATAGGGATCACAACGCAAAACAAGTCGACCTGTACGAATATATATATATATATATATATATATATATATATATATATTGTCAGAATTTCTCTGTCAACTAGGTAAATTAGAGCAAGTAAGAAGAAATGACCCATTAATCTGCACACTGATGACACCATCTGGGTAGTTGACGAATTGTTTGTAAGCCCGGCGTTCAGATCAAAAGTCACATGATCAGCTGTCAGGATGAGATGTCTTGAGCATCAAGTGTGAAATGCAGTACAGTAAAGCAAGCCATTAGTGTACTTTGACAGTCGTTTCTTCATGAAATCTAGCCCAAGGACAATGTATTTATCTCCTATTTATCTAAAAAAGGAACGGTGCTAGGGAAGACGAGAGTCTATGTAGGTTCAGGTTAATGTAGAAGTTCCTATGCCTGACTTGTTTACACGCATCCCTTCTTATGTATGTATGGTTGTCACTACCGGGAACGACGATATGTATCAGTGAAACTGCTAATCAAATGGCCAGATACCGGATTCTGACAAGCTGAGAGATGGACCAAAGGCGTCATGGGTCTGTGCTTTTCAAGATCTGATTGCATTTTTTATTACAAGAGCACATCCGGTTAGCTTTCCTACCACATGTTATGTGGTAGGAACACGCGAGAGGTCACTTTGACTTTCATCAGTGGTAGCCGTTTGTGTGATAGTACCAGCAGAATTAAATTACGCTGGTCATATATATGGAGTTTGCAAACAGATGAAAATGGGTAAGAATTCAGCAAATTTGAAGGCGCGAAAAAGGCGATGACTGTAGCCTACATGTTAGGAACATCATACCAATCAAAATGTTGGTTTTAAACAAACTCTCTTCAGTAGGCTTAAAACAGAGCGAAATTTCATACGAGGATTACAGAACTATGGTCATTTGCACACTAGTTTTCTTATATCGCGAGATTTAATTGGACCTAGCCGAATCCCTCGCTCATGATGTTTCTCTTCAAGTAGATGTGCTGCACATTGATACCATATGTTTTACTTAGCTGATTCGCAATATACAAGCAGCGTTTTCCCAAGAAACCACACTGCATGTCTCGAATACTGTCACAAATGTACGATGAGCCGAACTTCGAGCAACACACTGAGTTGGAAAAGGAAAACAAGCGAGAGGTTCGGCTGGATGCGGTAGAATCATCGTTTAAAATTGAACTTCTCTTTCACATGGTCTGGTTTATCACCATTGCAATGTTTCATCCTTGTTCAAAGTAAATTTGTTGTCAAACCCGCTAACCAGGCTGGTTGCTTCATTGCCCAAATCATCTATCGTACATTTACGATTATGATTGAAGCATGGAATAATGTCGAACATGCGACAGGTTCATGTGGCTGTATCACGTGGATGTTTATCTGAAATATGTATGTTAACCGGTCAAAGCGTTTTAAAGGACCTACGATATACTGTACTAATCAAACAAGCAACTCAGCAGTACACTTGGATTCAACTGAACCGAATACGACAGCTGGGATCTATAAATCTGGTCGAAATTTTCAACAGTGCCCAACACCTAATTCCTTGGACTGTATGAAATCACGGATCTCAAACTCGTCTGTTCATAAATTTTTTATGACGGTTTGTGAAGCCCGTTTTCGGTGTTTGGTAAGAATTTTAAAAGTCAGCAATCTACTTCTTGGTTTGTCATCCGAACGCTACACTGGTGTCAAACATTAATGAAAAAAATTATAGTTGGTATCTCTCCACGTAGCCAACGCCTACTAGGAAGGTACTTAGAAAAACGGTAATGTTTTGTGCAGCATGCTGCATTCGTAGTATGCAGCACAGCAAAGTAATTTTCCAAAACGTACAACTTTCCCCAACGAACTGTTCAGCAGTTAAAACACGTTGGGGTATTACTTGATAACGATCACCTGTGAAAGAAATTTTTCTGGGTACGTGGCACTCTTCAGCTTTAACGGACAGTAGAAAAAGCGTTGTATGTAACAAACCCTTTATCTTTCAAAGGGTTTTCTAATACAAGCTAACCGATGATTGTGAATGCCCAGTTTTCCTTGCCAGTCACTCACTAAACATTTGTTTACCTTACTGACTAAGAATCCTTGAATAACCCTAAACTCTATAGCCGTTTGTTTGCTTTTACCTGATATCCTTGTTGATTACTGTCCCATCCGTAGCCGCACCGGATATCTGTACGAGCTATTAGCACAAAAGGTCAATCAAAAGATGCTGCATGCACGCTTGTGGTCGGCAGAGGAATGACCGCCACACCAGGACGTTTGCGGGCCACACAAATCACTACCAATTCGGCAAAACTAAGTTGGATGCCTGGAAACAGCAACTACTGGCACCGCATCTTCCTCAACCAACAGGAGCTGTGCACCTGTCCTCCCGGAGTGTATAAGATTTTACTAACAGGTAAGAACTTCGCACCTATTCTCAGGAGAGAAGTTAATGCCCAAAATCCACTTTTTATTGAACTGCATAACGGAAGGGCGATAGTATACCTGCACGATAATTTATTGAAGGTTTTCTACAGTGGCATTCCAAGGGAAATATTCTGAAAAAAAAGCTTCATTCTTTTCAGCAAAATTTATCCTCACTGATTCTCAGCCACAAATTTAACAAAGTATTTTGGCACAGCGGTAAATGCTGTGCATTTTTCCGGGTCACGCACCGTCGGAAAGCAACCGTCTTTTTAATATTCGGTTAATCGTTGCGTAACCGAATACTCCTCTCCAAGGCGACCGTTCATTTTGTCTTCGGGTTGGTCTTAACCAACAGATCTTTCTTATCCGTTTACAAGCCAGAATTAGCTGCCAGCCGATTGCCCATAGAATAGAATTATTATAATCACATTCTGATAGATATCGTCTTTCCATGTAAATGTTAGCTTTGTCACTTTTCATCATGTTATCTGGGCGGGAAATTTTGGATACATTAGCCTAAGTTTTATTGAAGGCCATTAGCCGAATTCTAAAGTAACGCCACTCACTTAATCGCCTTGGGATTTAGGGAAATAACGTTCATTTGTAAACCTTGAGCATTTGTTCCTTGTAGGCCGGGTGACTAATCTGTCGTTACGTACCATCAAAACGCCAGCTAGATGTTTTGGGGGGAAATAATAGAGGAAATGCTGACTTTGACGATGTGTTTTTACGGTGTTTGTTAAATCGATTATCGTCAATCATGTGTGCAGGAAAATCTGGTTCTCAGATTGCTGAACGCGAATGCATCGGTGTTCGTTGTTTTTTTGCTCTTCAACTGGTTCTCCTTATCATACAAATCCATTTGGTGGTTCATTCATCCCTAGATGACGAAGTGCACGACTATTGTCCCCAATAAAGTCTGTCAGGGAATAATCACCCAGACAATCAAGGAGCTCCCCTGCTGCAAACATAACTTGAATGTTGACAGAATTCAGTACTGATAGCCATCTGAACAGACACAGGCCTTAAATACATTACCCGAATTTAGAAGCAACATTTTAGAACTTGCAAGCAGCTACATTGGCTAAGTTTGACTCACTAAGTGAGCATTGTCCATCCTTATTAATGTCGCATTCGTTTTATTCACGTTTTATGGAAACTTTCTTTTCAGATCTGCCACCTGACGCCCTTCATTGGGTTTGCGTACAGGCTGTTGTCCAAAAGACCAATATTCCCGAATCTCAAAAGTCCCCCATGTCTATCATCTGCAGCCCACGAAGTGGCGTGGACACACAGAAGCTGGCTGCATTCATAGAATTTCGTACTCTTCCAATCGGTAAGTAATGAAGGGTGCTCGTAGGATAGATTGTTGTAACTTATTAATGTATCCAGTTTTTTCACATTTACTGGTCATGCATGGTCGAAATTTTTGCAAGTTAGATCCAGCCGCTGATTTTGAGCCACTCAACGTGAATTCCAAGTCATTCAGGCAACTACTGCGTTACCGTCAGTAGGATTAGGAGCCAAAATTACCTCGGCGATCACTTGTACCACGGCTTCATTATTCACTTATAGACTATTCCGCCTCGTTTCTAGGAGGATTTCTATTGTTTTGAATGGAAATAAATTAAGTGCATATGAGTACACTCGTAATGGCTGATTCACCTCGGGATCGTAACCCAGTTTGGATATGAGTGTCCCGTCTGTTTTGGAAGAAAATGATGTCACGGACAAACCAGACTCCTTTCAGAGGACTTCAGATAAGTATAATGTTTATCATCATTGGTTTCATGAGAAGACAAGCTACTTAAACAATACCATACAACAAAGCTACTGACATAATTCTAGCTGTGCAAACGACACCAAGTTTTCAACATACTGTTTCATTACGATCTAAGCTGTGCCTGTCCTCAAGTATATGAGATTTCTGAGTGACTTGCTGTAAGCCTTAACCTTCCATTGGCAAATTTGTTCGATCAACAGATAGTAACAATCAATTATGAGTCCGTGAAAAGCAGGAAAGTCAACTTATAGTTTTTACTAGCTACTTTATATAGTCAGCAAATTATAACCTCCTCCTCTCGAGATATGTTGTCACTCCCCGGACCTCTTTGATTACAAGGAATTTAAGAACATATGCACCAAAAAGCCGAGTGGTATGGTGCCACTGGCCTGTTAGCCTATGGTATTTTCGGATGCGCTAAAAAGGAATCTGTCCTTCCAAAGACGTGGCTTTCGTCAGCCTGAAATAACTAGAGTGGGGAAAACAGGTAGATATCGGTTACTTAGTCGAAACGTTTTGGTTTGATTGATTATCTGTGAAAGTAAGTTTTCTCCAGAAATTTTCTGTGCCTACACTTACGTGCGCCGCTTCTGCGGCGATGAAAAATCCAGATATTATCGGATTTTCATGAACGCAGGAAGTCAGTTCAGGATTTGATTGATTAATACATCAATAAATGACTATTCGCGAAATTTGTTTTCGTGCAAACATGTTGCGTTTCATTTTGATGTACAGGCATCGCACATTAGTAACCAAACCATGATATGAAAACCTACCATCAACACCAGCGTTGTAAGTCACATGCACGCTTCCAGCTGGAATGTTGAGCTCAAAAATGAGCTCAAAATACGCAAATTTAAACCCGGCAGTTTCTTGTTCGGATTAATACAAAAATTGAATTTGCTCTAGCCCAATAACCTAGCCAATACTTTTGATTGCGTTCAAAGTACTAGTGCATACACCACTTCACAGACAGTAAGAGTTATTGGTTATGAATGCTTAATTTTTTCTTTCCCACATTCAGTTTTTTCTTGAATAGTGGTGGTACGACACCGTCCCATGGATTGTTAACATGTCGTTTCTTCCTTTGACGGCTTCTGTTCATACGGGTTAGCGAATCCTGAGTTTAGTCAGGTGATTCGCAGGTAGACATTTAGGTTTTGGAGTAGTACCAGGAATAATGAGTACACCAGAACCAGCATGCTTCCACAGAAAAGTGGAATTTAAAACCTGAAAAACACATCATCCACAGTGTAAGGAACCTAATTAAGTGATCATCATTTGGACTATTGCAATCTGCTGGGTAATAATACTTGATCAGACTAAGAATGGGGTTGTGGCTACTTGTTTTGTTAGCTAGCGAGTTCTGTCCCTAGTAATTAATGTACTTTATGCTCAAATGGAGCTATTGGAGTCATGCAGTGAAACATTGAAGAAAAACCAGAAGCATCAGAACAGCTTACCTTAAGCGTTTTTGGCGACCAAATTTTGGAACCGAATGTCAAATCAGACTTTAGAAATGGAGGGCGAAATACCGGGACTGCTAAAGCACACTGGTTGTCTAATGCTTAGCATACACAATAGTCTAAACTTTTGCTTCATCGACTTCGTCACTGAATTGACTTCTCAGCCTCACTTACTGAATAACAGTGTGGGGTTTTCTGTGAAAACTGTAAATTGTGTTGAAAACAAAACTTGTACTGCAGAGGTTATCCTCTGGGTGCTGCACTCCTGGCAATCTGAAGAGATTTTGCAGGGGTATGAGCAGTTTTAATGGTATCTGCTTCTGACTAGTTCGTTCAGCTGAGCAGTTGGTTTGCACACGTTTCATCATCGTTTGATAAAGCATCATTGAAGTGATGTTAGTACGTTATTTGCACTACTGTTTCCAAGTTATACCTGTGATTTTTTCAATCATCTTTCACTTGAATAGGCAATTTCGGTTCTAGTTATCCCCTTGCTCACTGATTGAGTTGTGATCTGACCTGCGTGCACTTCCGTGCATATCTTGCCAGCACGGTGTCGAATATTAGCTAATTTACTGCACTGTATATAATATGATACCTTTTTTAATTGTAGGTAGACTGAAAATTTCACATCCTTACGGATTCGTGCTAAGTAGGCAAGATAAACCTATTGTATAATAAATGGGTTTTAGTCCATCACAATCCCGCTTACATGAACTAACACGTGTAATCTGTTGATAAATTTCAAAGTCAGGATATGTGTTAGGCTTTCCCAACACTTCGATCACAAAATTGTATACTGATTGACTAAAAGTCCTAACTAGCTGATTAGATCACGGTTTGAACGTGTAAATGCAAAATAAGGGAACTACTTTTCTTTACGTTTGCCCTAAAATGTTACTAAAATTGTTTGTAACCAACTAACGACTTCCAAAATGCAACAACCTTTGAGCTTCATCAGTAGTGAAGGATAAATGGTCACCTTACCACCAAACCTATTCAGGCTTATTGTCTTCTATCCTGAGGTAAACGTTGTGTTATCTGAGATCAGAAGCATGGCTTTCCCTTCAAAGCTGAGGCGTGCAGCGTGAGGCTTACTATGTGCGAACGGAAATCAGTTTGAACAAAATTCGGCTTCATCTGGCTGAACATCCGTGTTTACCTGAGGAAGTATGGAAGTCAGTAACATCCAAATGATGTTATTAACACATTGGTCACATTGGTCAACGTAGTGAGATTTTTGTCACGCTTCTATATCTTTAGGACGTGATCAGGTCACGGGGACTCACAGAAGAGAATGGTACCCATCCAACAGCTCAATTGTTGTTCAGCCAATATCCTTTAACTTATGCCGTGCAGGTCCTTTGTTAAAGTTTTCTTTGGCTGCATGTCGTCAATCTTTTAAAAAAGTTATCTTAGTCTGATAGACGTGATAAGCGGTAGAGAAATAATTGACAAAAGCGGTGTCATGGAGTACTTCGGACTTGGCACTATTTAGAGTTGTTCCGAGACTGACATTGTATGAATAATGTATCCAGTAACCAAGAAACCTGGGGCAGCAAAGCACATATCCATTATTTGACTTCCTGGGTATTGCAAACCTCCTGTTTGTGAAGCTGGCACATGCACAGAACGTCTTTTTTACCAGAACAAGTGAGCCGCACAATTTTTAAAAGTAACTGTATTTGAGGTGATTTGTATCTTGCTGTTGAACTTACAAATTAGGCATCCAGCGGCTATCATTTAGTTACCTTGTGTGTTTTGATCAAAGATAAGCCACTGTCAAATATGTACGTCTGACCAGGGATAGCTTGCTATTTAGTGGCGTAGCAGCGGATTTTCGATTCAACAATTTAGTTGCTTTGCTCTGTATGAGCAATCAATTAATTATCAATCACGTTTTCAGAGTTTTTCCTCTTTGTATTATATATTAATTAATTATCAATCACGTTTTCAGAGTTTTTCCTCTTTGTATATAATTATATATTATTGTAATTATATAATTATATAATATGTATTTATAATTGTTGCAATAGTTAAATATTGTCTTTACCTCCGGCTCATACAAGCCAGTCGTTCTGGTCCGTGGCGTGGTTGGAAACTGTTCGATTTAGTCAACATTCGCGCATGCTTTCTGTGCAGCCATCATGAGTTGCGATTTTGTTTTGTTGCGCCTTCAAATTCTGTCTCTTTTCATTACCTGTTTTCAAATCCACTGCTGTCTTGTGTTCAGTTTGTTGTCCATTTTGAAGCAGTCATACAGTGGACGTTGATCCTGGTCGTAATCAGGAGTTCCACTACTCTCTCTATTCCTCATAGTAGCATTTGAAAAATGGGACCACACTCGTGGAAACATTCTTCGAACATTTGCTGTCGAGCATATCAGGATCTCTTTACTGGCAATGTAGATACGTCCAATTACTCTATCTTTGCCGAATTTATATGCCACCTCCAGCTGTCGTGGTGTTTAAGACGACTATTGGTCAGGTAATGTGTTTGATGTCATATGAAAGGGGGTAGGTTTGGGGATCACTCACTAAATCTTTGAAATCATTTAAACTTAGTCGCGATCCAAACATATAAGAACTTGTCAAGGATCTCACTCTGGCAGCTTGTCAAAATTATGTCTAGTAACTGCGCAGGGGACGCATTTGTGAGCAACAAAGCTTGGCAAACCAACCTACTAGTGTAACGAAACTAGTAAGGTGTGTACCGTGTTCTTACAAGGCCGATGTCGATGACAGCCATCTGTATTTTGTTGTGCATTATTCCTTACGTTAGGTGCTGTTTTAAATTATTCACAGATGTGGGATTTATTATACAAATTGTACATCTGGAAGAACATTCAGTAATTGTTGTGTGAGCATGATAGCGGTTTTAGTAAATAAGGCTCTTGCTAACGTTCAGACACACGTACGTCTAAAGTCTCTTTCATCATCTTGTATTGTGAGAAAAATCCACAGCAAAAAGCTTAACGGGATAATTAAAAATGATCTCTCCCATAAACGGAAGTATGTGAGGGAATTCTATTAGAATAGAACAAAATATTGAAGTTTTTTTACTTCACAGAGCCATTGGTGTACCTTTCCATGGCAAGGATAATTTGAAAACACGTTTTCCCTGAGTGTTGCCGCAATCCACAAGGCCACAACATGAAGGGTTACATGACATACCTTCTCAGCCTGTTCTAAGCCCCCTGGTTACATTTGTAGCTGTCCAGTACGCAGTGAAGTTTCCGAATTTAAGGGTTTATGATTAAGACGTTAAATCCTAATGTTTGATAATCTTCTTCTGCTTCGTGAAACTAGGGTTCACATTAGAGTGTTTGATGCTGAACTAAAGTTGTTTTTCGCGGAATACTTGCGTAAGATAATACTAACTCTGGTCTCTACTTCATCAGCGCGGTCCTAGGAATAAAGTTCCATTTCATTTGTATGTATACTTTTGTTTACGTTACAATGTATACTGTTTTCTGGACAAGTTTCCTGGTGGTCCAATCTACCTTATCAGTTCGGTTAAGTCCAATTTTCAAAGTAGCAACTCGGAACTTTGGTGTTACTGTTTAGCCTAACCATACTTGAAGTGTGGTGGCATGAGCCCTCAATCCATCTTTCGAACAATGAATACATAATGATTTCCATCTGCCGTTCTCATTCAAGCCTGTGTTGCATCTCCACTTCCGTTTCGATGTGGGTCTCAGTAGGAACTCCCGCTAATTGCATGTATCATTATGCTAATCTCTGATAAACCAAGATTAGCAGGTTTGAGCAGGCTCTGCACTGAGTAAGCACACACACGCACATACAAACGAATTTTAGACCAGATTTGCTCAGGCGAAAAAGACAATTGAAACTCCACATGCAAAGACTATCTTCTCTTTTGTGTTGTTTCCGTTTTTTCAAAATCTGAGCTCATGTATTGTTATTGTTGTTAATCAAATGACTTTTGTTTGGTTAGGCTGCTGAGTGGAAGTTTTTTCATCAGCAAATGGCCTGGTTTCATTGGTTAGACAAAAGATTTGGGTCAGAATAGAAACTTAGTACAAGGAACCAGTTTTGGAAGATTAAAAGGATTTTGAATGAGACTTGGCCAACTGACTAGTTATTCTGAGCTGACTTCTTGGTTTCTTGTAACTATAATTAGAAGTACAAGCGATGATTCGGTAGATTTCCTGTGCAGTCTGTTAATCATTATCTCCCCATAGCCACACAGTTCCATCACGGAGTGACTGGAGTTCACCATGACGTGATGATTTGTGTGCCTTCGCGGTTGAACAGTACTGAAGAGAGTTCTTGTGGCACTCACCTAGTCTGTCATACCAATTTAGTCAATCATTAGATGTCCCAGCAACAGTCTCCTATTCATCCAGGTTTGTGGATTCAGCATATGGGACGACTTGTTTTTAGGAAAAAGTGGATACACATATGTTCTCTCAAAATGCAGTCTTGCGACCAAGCTTTTGAGCCAAATACGAAAGTCGATGTGGCTAATTGTCTTCATTTGTTGGCTTTTGCAATTAGTGTGACGCCACACTGGCCGTCAGTTTTGTCTTAAGCGTGGTCGCTTTTGTATGGCAGCGAACCATCAGTGTTTAGATACTGACGCTTGCTGTCGGTGACGATGCTGTCAAGTCATATAGATGTGAGGGTAACAAATACATTGTTGTTATGCTTGGGTTTCTTATATCGACATATCAGCATATCACTGGTGAAAATGGACCTGCCCCTTGAATCGATTCTCAATGTGTGGCCAAATGAGAAAAAACTTATAAATCCGCCCAGCTATTGACCGTTCTCTAATGCTTTTTATGTGCGGATCACCAAACTTCCGGCAAATACCAATGAAGTAGTAAATTGACCTNCCCTACAAAGGCCCAGCTGGATAGACACAGTATTTAGGGAAACGAATTTCTCATCAGAACGACTATTTTCACTGTTTTTATCTCGTGCCATATTATTCAGGATGTTATTCCTTTTCCTATGTGTTCAAGACACTATTATGTCTATCCACCCTTACGGGTGTCAACACAAAAGACAATCGTTCAGCTGTAACACGCTTTCGGTGCCTAGCTGCAATACCACCCGAAGGAAGCACGAGGGCTGGGATACTTCAAGGTTACACAAGCCTGAGAGGTGAAATCGAGATACAGAGGTCGAGGTCGAATCACGGAACTTTCGGTGGTCAATTCACGCTATAACCACTGAGCAGTCTCGCCGTCGTCTAGGCGTACAAATGCGAGCGATGACTTGGTTGCGAGCGGCACTTTTTGATAGTCCGGTTCTCAACACTGTAAATTCCCTGCTTTTATCTTCGGCACATATATCGACAAAACACTGAAAACTTATGGATATATATCTGTTCAAACGGGATTGTGCCGACTCGGCCGGATAAGTAGATACAACCAGGTATCTCGTCGTGATATACCTATTCAAAATAATCTCTTATTTATCATTCTGTTACGTTCGGATGGGGGTAGTTTAAATTCAGACAGCATAGGCATATCCACTAAGGAACATTACTCCGTTTTTCGGTGAAACAAAAGCCGATTACGATCGTGAGCTGTCGTTCGCTTTTATTCCTCATTCACAAGCCCCAATCGTGCTCTACTACGGAGTAGTCGCGACCTTGGGTCATTAATTGATTTGCCAACAAATAGACAGGTCAGACAGGTTCTTTTATGTGTAAAACATAGATCTGCAAAGACCCCACTGTTAACAAATTTTACTTTGACTCAAAGTTCAGAGCAACTTAGTTTCCACACCATTGCAGATAGTCTCTCATTAGGAGACATTAAATTTCGAAAAGTGCAAGACTAGGTGGTGGCGATGGCTTGCTGCTGTTCAGAATATTGACGTAGAAGGCGTGAACGTTGCAAATCTCTCTGGGGAAACACAAGAGTCATCTGGTGTTGTGGATGAAAATGCGTCAAGAGTTGTGAAAGTCGTGTTTAGAAACTCAGCTCCTCTGTTTGCCACTGTAACGATGAATGCAGTTGTCTTCTGATAGGGCTGACTGCAACAGTTGGGAGAAAATGAGTCAACCAGATTTTGAACCAGCTAATCACAATTGCTTTTTCTAAGTTTCATAATGTGGAGGTCCAATATTATTTTTTAATCGACCTAAAAGTCGCTTTTTCTTATCCGACCTGTCGTAAGCTTTTGATCTTGATGTGGCCTCGGTATATGGTTTCTTCTTTCACCCACAGGCTTACCGGATCCCCCAACAAACGTCCAACTGGAGCCAGGTCCCCAGGATGGCATGCTGCTTGTCACATGGTTGCCGGTTCCACAGGATCAGGGTGCAGCTGCAGCTGCAACGGCAGCCGGTGCCGGCATAACTCTTCCCGTACAAGGTTACACCGTCTGCCTTAACGAAAATTCTCTCGTGGAGGTTGCGGAATCTACAAGTAAGTGCCCGATTTATCAATTTAAATAGTTTTGTCCGTTTCAATATATCACCTCTACACCAAGCGCCAAGAACCAGCGGGCAAACTTTCAGTCACCGAAAAATCAGAAAGCGCGGAGATACAACCAGACATTGGGGGCGGTGACATAATAAGTTGGTTTGTATTGCATTAGTTTGATTATTTAAAGAAACGAAAACTGAAAACCCATGAAATGAAGAATATAACTCCGATGCATAAGCGCCACTGATTGTTTGAATGAGCTTTGTCTGCAAGTACCATTAACCATTAAATCCCGGGACCCCCTCTGAGAGACGTCAGTTGTCAACCCGACTTATTTTACTAGTTATCACCTCCCTGTTTTGTTACAAAATCATGTACTGTCTTTCTTTCGGTAGTTTTTACGTGGAATGGGGCCTGAAAGAGGGTCATGCGAGGAAGGCGGTCCTCTGGTATGCATGGCGCATGTCCTGCAAGGTATTATCAGTTCGTCGCATGTGGATTCCTTCCAACCAAACACATTTGTCGTACCCCGGAAACGTTGATCTGACGTTCCTACAGGAATAAGCCCATGCATCCAACACACCAGTGGTCAAGCACTGACAACCTTGGTGCGTCTTCTGCGCTTGGAGGCTGGGTTTCTGAACCATAACTCAGTAACGACCGCAATACCGTAGTGTATACTATGCTCTTGACAGACGAACCAAAGTTCTTTCTGCGCCGTGTGTGTCGCAGGCTGGCACGACTGCCCTGGCCTTCCCGATTTCAGAATTAATACCATCTTCAGTACGTCCACTGCAACCTATACAATTGCATGGGCAAACAAGTCTATCTATTACTTCGATTGTTTTCTCTGTAAGCAAGAATTTGGGTTTGATCCCACCCACTCTCAGGGCAGCACTTCACACTTTGCAGACGTGAAGCGCGTACCAAAGCCTTCAGCAGAACTATTTAGGTTAAGTTGCATCCTTGAAGGATGTGAAACACGTAGATTAATATAGTCCATATCCTCAGTTTGTGTTAGGAGGCAGTCTGGTGACATTTTGATCTTCCAGGTTCTAGAAGCAGTCAGCAAGGTTGGGAACATCGAACCAGTGATAAACCTGAGGAGGACAGCGACCGAGTGCAGACTTCTATTACACCATCATGAGGAATGAGCTTAGGTGAATGCTTGTTGTGTACTCGTATGTACTTGCAACAATCAGTATAAAGTGCCAACCTAAAGGATAAAAACTGAGAAGGGCCACCTTTGATCATCAGCCACGGCCGTACTAACAGGGTCAAAAGCATCTATCAGCTCAAGAAAACAAATAAACCTTAGACATTCATAGAATAGGGCCAGTATACTCTCAGCCAGGGCAAGTCTGGCCTGATTCTTACTAATTTGTCCGTCTCGGCAACCGATCAACTTCTAAGACAATACCTTGGAGGCTGCCGCTACCAGACTAATGCGGTGATGGTCGTTGAATGATTTCTCACTTCTTTTTAAGCTTTCAACCACAGCAAAGGCCTTCATACCACCATCCTAATTTCATTCCAACTTTATCATATTGGAACTGTCACACTGCGCGCCTTTCAAGCTATTAGCACGAGGCAGGACGCTGATCAACCAGGAGGTAGGTGTTCAGTTGCTTTGGATACATGATGTTTTGCGCTAGATTCCTGTCGTTGATGAGGCTGATTTGGAAGTAATATTCAGAACTGACGAGTTAATTTAGATCTGTCGAAGCGGACAAGAGGAACAGCTCCGGAAAGTGTTCGGTCCGTTGCTCAAGACAACGATTCTACGAACTGATTGTTGTCCCATCTTTTTTGCCACTCATCTCGTTATCACCATTCTTATTTTAGCTGACTGACGAAATCAGCTTAAATGTGTACGTGTAAAATCCATCTCCAAGCTTATGCTCTCCAGACGGTCGCCATCTTGACCACAAGTTGCTGGTATGTCATTTTTGCAGCAGTAATTTCTGCTAATCTCGCTAATATTCATTTTTTCACTTGGGCGGCCTGGGCAGGCAAACTACTCACCTTCTAAACAACCTTCCTTATCAGCGGGGCTATGCGTTTCCAATAACTTTCTAGCCAGGGCACCTGGTCACTTTTGACTCCTGAAATTCCCCCAAATTGGAAGGAGCTCTGGTGTTTTGCCGTGTACAATGAGCTGATAACCGAGCCTATACAAGGGCCTGGTCAGAGTCAATCTGTATATGGTTGTCAAGTGACAGCCAAATAATCTAACTGAGTTCAAAGATGGTCTCCAGACAAACCATTTTGAGAGCTGATTTTGAAAGTTTGGTTCGAAAGTTTGGCCAGAAACAGATGATGCTCAACACACAAGCGATGAAGCCTCCGGCTGTTAATGGTGAGCTTGGTAATGACTCTAAATTTATCACCCACTTATGCTTCCCCGGTATTTAGTTGTACAAATTGGGTGACATAACAAGCAGGAACATGCACTGATCCTGTCTGAACCAGATAACATTACAGCCCAAAGGCGACTTTTCACTGCGATCCAGTCCACATCAACGGTTTTGGTCTTGAGGCCTTTGCACCATGATCGTCAGATTTTCGAAGAATGAAATGTAGATAATCTGACTTCGTTCTAAACGGTATGAGGCGCACAAACAAAGTCAAACTTTGTATGCTTGTTTTGAGGGGACTGCGTACATCTGTAGAAAGTGGTTCAAGGTCTCAGCATGCTCAATTTTATTCGGAACGTACTGGATAATTTGTCACCGAACATGATCAACCGTTAGAGGGCAGGATTGTGTAGTCTTCAGAGCCCAACTTGTTTGACTTATCCTTCCTGACAGAAAGATAGCATCGCCGCTTCCACAAGTATTGGTGAAACAACTTAACGTCTTTACCAAACCAACCCCAGTGTACTGTACGACTTTTCTCCAAACTGTCCTGCATTATAGTTATTCGTATTATGGGGCTTGTCGTCCTTTGCTCATCTGCCTCCCTTGAACTTTCCTGGAATCCTTGTACCTTGTGTAATAAACTGCAAGTCGGTATAGCCCACGAACTCGCCACGACCCGACTACCATGGACAGAAAGTAGATTCTGGTGGATAGATTGTAACCTACGACCTCGAAATGCACGAAGAATCATTTCTGCCAAAGAAACAAACGAGTTGGTTTATCGTACACAGGTACTTTGAAGACCGTCCAGATTTATGCGTAATGAGCAAACAAGCCCTTCACTGAGAATAATCATAATAGTGAATGCATCAGAAAATTATTCCCTCCAAGTCGCTAACTCGGGCTCCATGGCGAAATTTCACCCACCTAAATAATCACAAGCGCGAAACACCAGATATCCATTAGTGTTTCACGGAATAAGGGATTTCAGCAATATCTATTGTATTATACGATGTTTTTAAGTTCTATTACTTTAGAATATCACAGAAAAAACACACGTTTTATAATCAGAACGCCTTTTCACGGCTAAGGGAAATATAGTGAGAAGAAAATAAAACAAAAATTTGTGTGGGCCGATCGAGTTAACAAAATTAACTTGGCAACTGTTACGTGAATGTTTTGATGAAACAGCTACATAGATAATAGATTACTCTGGTAGGACGCAAAGGTTAGTCACAAACTGTTAAACAGATCATAACCCATTATAATTTAATTAAAATACATTACATATGCAACTGTGTTCATTAAATTCCGTAATTAATTTCTCGCCAACATTCTTCTTTTAGCTGACCAGTAGGAGTCATAGATGAGGCTTTTGTGGACGTGATGAACGAGTCGATTATGTCACAAATTTTAGTGTGTGAATACGGATACATGAGTTCATATGTTCAGCACAGGAATCCACCCGGTAATTATCAGCCTATAAAGCATGTGTGAACCCTTTACCAGGATTGTCCGGGGCGCCTCCGACAAAATAAAAAATATTCAGCTTAATGGTGAGGGCACGCTGCATCAGTAGATCATTCCTCAGACATGTTCCATAGCTGAGCAGCCGTCTGTAATTCGGAAGCACTATCCAGATATGCGCTGGCCTGATTTGCACTGTTTCACTGGCTTCTACACTATACCCACAGGAAAGTTTTCATCCTGGATAGCAGCCAAGAAAGGTCAACTCAGGCTTGGAAAGGTCTGGTTTCAGCCTAGCATACAATGTTCGCTGTTTTTACCAGAAACATGCATCATTCTGTGTTGATCTAGCCTCTGACTGTCGTTCTTGTTTACAATGCCTGCCACCGACTTACCTTGCCAAATTAGCTGCTCGCTGTGATGTGCCGTGAGAAACTGGTAATTTTCTCTCATGGGCACTGTGGAAGCAAAGTGCATAGTTGCTCTCCTATTTCCTGCAACCGATCAACGCTGAGCTTTCAGAAGCTACTTCATATCTCTAAAACATAACAAAGATAGTCCACTGAGAAATGTTATTTTTGTTTGATCATTTTTGTTCTTTTACCCCAATAAAAGCTAACTCATGATCAAAGAGTTGGTCGTAAAATAGAGAATATTTCTTTAAAACATGCAAACTCTCATTTAAGCGTTACTGTGCACTTGATTATGGATATATTTCAGTTTATTGTGGAAAAATAAATGGGCGTTTATTTAAACATGATCTCTTAATTGAGTTACTTTTAATGCAATTAAATTGTATATGAGTAAATTTGAGAAAACAAACCGTTCACTTCTCTATTCCTCCCAGACGATCATGCCATAATACCATTGCAGCAAATCAAATGTCATTTGGAAGCTGCTGGAACTACGAGTTCTGTCACTAGATCCAGTGAAACTGAGACTTCTGAAGCTACACTAGCTGATAACCGACAGTTAAGCCCAGATCTTCCGGATACTGGAATACCTCAGCACCTTTTTATCACGGTACACTCTACTGTTCCAAGAGAAGCAACTGAATCCAAGACCGCTTTTGCGAACTCCGAGTCTCCTATCAAATCTAACATTTTAAAAGGTGCTGCGGGACCAGGTTCTCTTCCAGTAAATCTGACCGCAGGGTTATTGTTGGCATCGGCGGGCTCGCTTCAAGCAGCAAGGCGCATCTTTGGCTCACGTCTTTCACTCCATCTTGGGATTGTAAGTCATATTGTAGAGTTCATTTTCAAATTAAACTGTGCCCTGCCAGAAAACCAAAATTTTGCGTTAGAAGCCAGAATTTGCCTATTTTTATGTTCACCTTTGGCAGAAAATGTTATAGGGGATTTTCGGATCGTGTAAAAGATAAAAAGCAGCCAGCGGTTATTAATGAACATATGCCTCAGCAACATCAAACCCATTTTTTCCTCAGTAGCCGGACTTTTACCAGGTTTACGTAGTCCAATTTGAACGGGAAGTTGTTAGCTAGGGAGGCGTTCAAATTAAAGGTTGTACTACTTGCTTAGTGAAATTAAGCCCAAGGTTGCTGAAAACCATTCAAAAGGTCAAGACATGTTTCGCCCTTCTTGGGTGTGGATGCCGATTTCCCGTCAACCTTATGTTCTACGTGAACCCAAATTTAACCGATTTCGATAAATATATCCATGGGCAGGTCTATTTGGTTTTCAGGAGAGACTCAACCAAAGGTCTCGTTTATGATACTCTCCAACATGGCATGCTGCACAAAAGCCACCTCATGTTTCAGTTGGTACAATATTCCAGTTATCCTGGTATCTCTCGTTTATGATACCCGATGAGCCCGAAGAACGGTACACCGTTCTTGGGCTATCGAAGAGTTTTCAGCGACCTTGTGAGTGGTTTCCTTAATGAAAATATACGACGATATCTCGGATATCGTACCAAATGAAACCTGAGGCGGCTTTGTACAGCACATTCTGTTGAAAGATATCTTCCATAAAAGCCCATTTGATCTGAAAATGAGTGTATTTGTCGAGTTGTCCTGTTTCTTCATTTTGCTCAATATCCAGAACCCATCCTGGTGCAATGGTGCATAAACTAGTGGATAGGAAATCATTTGCTATTATTTTACATGAACTACACGAACCTCCGATATTATTCGCGCTGAATAATAAATGCATCAGTCCACACTAACCGTAACTCTATGGGCCAAATAGAAATAATTTCTTTGGGCCTTAATTCCTCTCCACAATGCATAAAAAGTGTTACGAACCAGTTCTACTGGTTGTATGCTGTGTAGCGCTTACCCTTAAGACCATGCAACTGATTCGCACCAGGTAATATATTCAGCATCGTATTTTCCCAAACGATGTCATTTACGCAGAACCCTTAATAACAACCAATTCGCTTCGCCTATTGATATGCAGTGTCCTAGTTTCATTCGACCCCTCAATCATACTTTACCGATTGCTTGTCAGTGCTATGGACGAAGAGCACCACTCCGGCACAGTGATCTGCTTTTTGTTCAAAACATTGGGCTTCGTCCATATTCATCCTTGCCTTACTTCAGGTACTTTCTCGAGCCCTAACAACGGTGGCCGGTATGACATGTCATTAAGTTGTAAGTATTTCATTGAAAAAATGGAACTTTATCGGTTGAACAATTTCAGCAGCTTCCAAGAAAATAAGGTAGTTGGGTGGTTCTGCCGAAAGTCGCATTAGACATCCTGACAAAATCCCTCAATCAGAAATGGTTTTAGTTGGTTTTAAGGACGATTCAAAATTCAAAGTTTTTACGTGACATGTGGCAAGATTAGCCAAACTGTGTGATGGTGTCTACTGAATACAAAATTTTTCAGTACTTTCCAGGTTGACCTCGCTAGTCAACAATAGAATATACCAATTTCTATTATTCTATTTTGCTACAATTAATGTTCCCTTTTGTTACATTTTGACAAGTATTTCGAGCGGCATTCATAAAGTAATGTTTTCCTTTCGAAACAAAGCTTTACACAATGGATCTGTCATGTTTGTATTTACAAAGTTGGAACCGCGTTTGGAATGTCAGCTGGTATTTGGGGTTGGCGCATGAATGGTTATAAAACATTTATGTTTAATTTAATTCCTTATGAGTACAGAAATGAAGTTTAAACAAACATACTGTCACTGCTTCATCCGCCGGCAGCTGGCCGGGTGGATCGGTGCTTAGAGGACCTGGGAAGGTCATCCGCCTATATTTTTGTTATAGGATAGCCATCACAGACCTGGCGCACCCCCGGGGATTTTCATCTCTGCGTCAGAAGGAAGCTTCTTGAATGCAATTGAGTAGATCGCCTTCCTAACGTAAACTTCTTGAGCACCCCAAAATCACGTGAAGAGGCCGTGATTTAGGGAACGTCTCCAGAGGCATAAAGTTTGACGTGGTGTCCCTAAAAGACATTGTAAATTCAGAAGCTTTGTAGTTTTTATTTTAAGCAATGAACAATGGCACTAGTGGGCTCACATACAGTTTCCCTTTTGGATAGCGAATCTATATAGACCGTTTATTTATCAGCTTTCAACGTCTTGCTAATATTTTTTCAATGAGGCGTTCTGGTTGACGTTTTAGGTAAATTACCATCAGATTTTTTCTGGGTTCGTTTTCTGTAATACCTGAAAAACTAATTTATCCTGTCGTGTCCGATGAGAAACAAGCTGAATGTTACCTGTTGTATGACCCGGAGTTGTAAGAATAGACGCGCTGCTCTAACCCAGAGCACCTTTCTTCCCAGTAAAATGGGGAATGTGGTAAGAGAAGAATCCAGGCGCTTTGGGTGACCAAAACCTGAATGGTTGTATGCCAGTGACTGTTTGCCCAGAGGCAAGATTTGCGCCACGGTTTTGAGGAATATTTACATGTCATATTGCAAGTACAGGAGCTCCAGCTAGAAAAATTTCTAATGCAATGTAACAAATAGACCCTGGAAACGCTTACTAAGCGGCAAACAGGATGATATGGACTTTGAAAGGGCGATTACAGAGAATAAACCAGTGAAATAGAAAACAACATAATGGGCAAATATTTAGATGAAACCATAGAATTGGTGGGGGAAGGGAGATGAAACACCAAGACGTCACATCCAAACGTCTATGGTGGTTGTTTTGATTATGACATCCAGTGGAAAGCAGGTCTGGATGATCAAGGCATTGTAAGAAGTTTGAGTCCAAAGGATGGAAGCTTAGCTAGAACGGATTGTAAATGTGTGAGCACAAGCTGAGAAGCACCAGGCGTCAACTGAGTCTAGATAACGAGTGTGCAGAAATAGGTAGCACGGATATTTCTAAGGGGCTTCCGTCCTTCATGGAAAGCTCTTCGTTTGTGATGAAAGCGTAAGAATGTGTACCTGAATAACGATGTCGATGTCACAAAAAAGTGATTTCCTGCTAATGATCATAACTCTCTACTGACCGACTTGAAAACGTGAATATTTCGCTTCTGTTAAATGAGCTCATGAGTTTGAAACTTAAGAAAAATGGTTGGGTAAAGCCTGAAAAACTACCCACATCAGTAATTGGCCTTCCTAGGCTGTGTTGCGTTTTTCAGTCAAAAGACCGATTGATTTTTCATTCCTAATCAAAATGGATAAATGTTCCTCCGATATAAACGGTAGAATCTAAATATGAATAATAGAAAGTCATAAAATGGATCGTAATATGCCTTCATATCTTCCAGTATGATATGCACATAACCTCTTGTATCATGATGTAACGCTCACCCACTATTCCATGTTTGCAGTGAAATGTAATCTGTGATGTTGCAGTCTACTTTCTCTTGATCACAATGGTATATATTTATGTCCTCCGCCTCATCATTAAAAATTCTCGCTGAAGCAGTTTTTAAGATCTGCTTTCTATTTCGTGTCATCAAAATGAGTAGTGTTGAATTTGTTACAACTTATGATAACGAATGAATACTTGTGGGGTGTTCTCTGTGTTCTGAAATCACTATTAACGAAAAGGTCACGGCAGACCGACGTTAAATGAGTTATGTAAAATGATGCTTTAACAATGGATTGGTTAGCATACGTAAATACAGCTGTTTGTGTTATGTTGAGGTTTTCCGGTGGGCGTCTTTTGAATAGTTTGATGAAACTTGGTACGTCACCCTAAACAATAAGGCCCGTACTGATCGGGTCTTGACCTAATTAATGATGACTTCTCTATAGGAACTTGAATACAGTGACAAGTATCCAGGGCGAACAATGCCTAGAAATGAGTCGCACGGTGGGTAATTTTTGATCATGTGATCGGTCTTGCTGGTGTTTTTTTATGGTCAAACATGGACAGCTTCGATGTAATATCCAGTATCATAAGGGAGGAATGTTTAAGTATAAAAAGAGGGTGCGAATGAGGTGAACTGTCAGCCACAAAGTATGGACAAAACGGTTCTGTATGTTATAATATACAGAAATAAACAGGGTAGTGATTGACATATATATGTAATCAGATAGTTAATAAACCGCAAAACATTATTGATGGCTTTCTTGCAACAGTTATTATAAGAGTACTCTTTAGCAGCCATCTCGGGAAATCATTTGATTCCCTTTTGTTGTTATGACCACTTATACGGTTTAGAACAAACTCGATTGTATTCAGTGTGTGCCTAACACAACCCTCGGTCTCCATCAAAGTGAGTGGATTTTTCGTTGTTCCTTCGAAGATTCTACGGGTAATTCTTGCCACATGCTAAGACAGAGTTTACATTATCAATAGTTAACTTAAACTACTGAAGCGTGTTTAAAAATTGCCAAATTTCAAAGATGAATTAAATCGCTCATTTTTTCCGTGTTATTCTGAGTTTGTGGAATGGTAACCTCGACGTGTCAGTATAAACAGAAATGATAATGACATTCCCTATGTTATCATAAACTAAACAGATCGAAGACAAGCTAACCTATGCAGGATCACCTTGCAAAAGAACGCAATTTCGGACATTCTGTGTGGAATGATTTTAGAAGAAACCCGATGAGAACACAAGTAACCTTTTTCTGCCGTCCTTCGGAAAATCATCTGCAAAATGCTGAGTATGTCTAGACCGGGCAGTACGTTTTCACGAAGCAAAACCTCGGAATGTCCCAGACACCGCTGTTCCGTAATTTGTGATTGAGTAGAACATCAGGATTCGTTATTCACAGAGAATAGAAATGATTATTTTCTGTATGCTTCAGTTTTGAAAAAGAATATTCGTTTTTAATAGTGTGACTATTCCCCCAGTAACACTATTCGATCACTGTTTCGACCCTGTAAGATTTGAAACTACTCTGATAGTAGAAGTTTTGCTGGACAGCTTGGCACTTATTAAAACAGGATTTCAATAAAAACAGCCTCTCATTGCCTCCTGTTTACCGCAAGTTTTTCCGATCTGTTCTACACAGCAGACTAGCCAAACAGATTTCAGACAGTATCGGCAGGCGATTCTAATCTGGTGATTGATAGTGAGCTGTTGCCCAGTCGCTTGTCTATTGTGCGCTTCCGAGTCGTTTGATTGCGCATTAAAGTAAGTGTACGACTCACCGCCTTTAACAGCTGAGCATCAGTTAACAGTGGAACAACTCGTTTGCTGTTGTGACTAGCAAAATATAGGACTGTCTCTAGATACCGCTACTTGATAGTACAACTTTGTCTGCTGATTAGTGCTCTTATTCAGTCGCTTCACTGACAAGTTGTGAAAAGATCATGATCTTGTGGTAAATCAATCAGGCGTTCAATCGTTGCAAGCGAAAACGCGTTAGCGATCGGACGTGCGACATTTTAGGACAATGTCAGTTTAATCCTGGTTTGAAAATGGCGCATACAGTCAACAAAATCGAAGTAGCCATTTCCTTGACTTCACGGTCAATTTATTCACGCCCTAGAAAACCGTTCACTTACATAGCAAAGCAGATATTCTATACATAGTAACTTAATAGTCATCTGTTCAAAATGTACTGAAAACAGCACAAATACGTGCTATCCAGTTATGTGTGCTTTCCGTCGGTCTTCAGTCCGCTAAACAATGGACTCTTCCCAAAAGAGGGATCCTTTCTAACAGAAGTTCGTTTGTCTCATTTTTTTCTTTACTGCGGCTACATTACCCATCATATTCATATAACGCTTGTCTGATTAAACCCTTTTCAAAACAATCACTCTCAACCATTGCCTCTTAGGTTAGTTATCATGAATGTGCGAAATGTTGCCAGTTACAACTGACAGCCCTAAAATATGGGCTGTTTCCCGTTTTTAGGTGGCAGTGGGGTTTTGGGCCTGTTACGAACAGCTGAAAGGTCTCTTGTACCATGTGTATGTAAAACTATCAGACAGCCTTGGATTCATACCATTACTCTAATCAGGACATGTCAAGTTAAACCATGTTAAGTTGAACCATGTATGGAGGCTGTGACTTTCGGTCCAAAGTGTCAATTGGTCACGCCGTACAGCCACTTAGTGTGGTGTAACAAAAACGTGAGTCTGGCCCGAACGCCACTTTTCCATTTACGATAAGCCTGTAGCCTACTATGCTGACAATATGTTGGCAGGGCAAAATACAGATACTATCCCTGTACACTACTTCTCCTGTTCTAACGGCTTCTTTTTCTCCCAACTACCGGCTGACTTTATTCATTAGCTTCTTGATATTTTTACATGTATTCATTCCAGGACGAAGCAGCGGCTAAGCGCGCAGGCGTTCCCCTGATTGTGGAAAGAGAAATGTCAACAAGTCCCCCGCCCACTACACAAGTGGGCCATGTTTCAACTCTCGATCCCGGTCTTGTGATGGTTTCCGCAGATCTGACTGCAAGAAAGCTCAGCCCGACTGCAGACGCTATTGGGTCAGCCGAAGTAAGTTTCATTATGTGATTACTCATTTCCGAATTATTGCTGCCCTCGTTCACTAAAACCAGTTGAGATATTAAGCTGCGTTTTCGCAGTTGCGTGAAAAGACAATTGGTCCTTTTTCATCAAGAAAACTACTCACAAGGTTGCTGAAAACTCTTCGACAGCCCACGATCGGTGTTGCCCTTCTTGGGGCTCATCAGGTAGGCACACTCCCCGAGTTTCCGTCAACCTTATGTTCTACTTGAACCCAAATCGAGAACTACATTCATTTGCAAATCAATTTGGCTTTCACGAGAAACTCAACTGAATCTCTCGTTTATGCTATTCTACAACTGGTTCTACAATTGGTTCATATTTTTCCTCTCAACGTCTGCATAACATTGTCCACTGATGCAAGGTTGATGTACTTGGTACCTGCAAAAGATTACTGTGTGCTGAAAACACATTTGGTCGATCGGTTATTCAGTCAGTCTCTATAAATACGTAGAATATTTGTAACAGGACTGTCTCAGTGACATGATTTTGGCTACTGGTTGGACAACTAATTTCTTACAGAATATCCTGAAGGTTTCGTCAGAAGGTCAAGTGGGAGAACACGGTTCTCCTTGAGTTGACAAGGCAAGTAATTTCTTACTACAAATATAGTTCATTGTTTATTGCTGACATTGATCTGAAGACTTTTCAGGAGAGTGTACCAATAACTTGTGCCACCTAAGCGTTCCAGGAATGGTAGTCATCCTCCGGCCTAGTTCTTGGTACTCTGCTGATAACCGGACCCACGTTCAATCACAAAATACACAATCAAAATACCTTCATGTGATTCTTCGCCGCATCTGGAAGAGTTGATAAGCCAAAGTTTGTGAGCGCTGATTTTTCTCATCCATCCTTAATGTTATTACTTTAGTCCATTTCTATCCCACTGAGTAATCTGTTTTATAGATCAGCCAGGCGCCCAGGAATGCAACCGATTGCACTCTGTCTCACACCTGTTGCTTTGTATCCGTGTTAACTTGCTAATTGCTTGCAAAATTCAAGTTGGCCAGGTCCTAACCTTACTTTCATTTTAGTTACTCTGCCAATGTGCATAAGCCGCGCTTTTGAACCTGTGACGCAGTGGTGGTTACGCCACATCATGTGTCTGGACACTGTCGACTAGGTAAATCAGGCGGTCCAACAGCTTTTGCAGCATTTCATACCGGCTCTCTTCTACCCTCTACTTCTCAAAGTTAGTTTATTTGCTCCGTTGAATACGCGTAAACAGTCAAACACGTATCATTAGGCTGTCCGCTGTCACGAGCATTCGCAATAATCGAGGTACTAACCATTACTTATAGTGCTAAATTATGCACCGACCTAATGCAGCCGCAATTTTGTGAATAATGCTTGCAGTCAAAACCGAGACAATCTATTATCCATCGCGAAGACTACAAAGCATATTTATGACATTTTGATTCATCGAAAATGTATTTTAGTAGTTAGTGAATTTTGAGTAGGGAAAATAATGATAATGCTTAGCGCTTGTTGCAGATTTATAACGGTCACCAGATACTTCTCAGTAATGCTGGGTTTAGAACAGTAGGCGGCTTTATACAGCCTGCTGTCCCCTTTCTATTGCGTAAACATGCAATTAAAATGATCACCATTTTCGAGGTTTGGTTTTTGATTCTCTATCATTCCCTAATAGCCCTGCTGATCCAGATTGTATACAGGTCTTATTAAATCTGCCAGGTAAACGTTCAAAAGAAGCTGATCATTTAGAAGTGGCAAAACTTTGTGATCCATAGTTTGGAAAGCCTACCCAATTTCTGCTGTGTTGTGATCTCTGTGTCCTAATTCGAGCACGTGAAAAGCTGTCGGTAAGAGCTAGCCACGATTACAACGTCGAAAATTGTATTGTTGTCGGGCACATACGTTGAAGCACTTGACGCTCATCAATGCGGGACGTTGCATAACATCGGACTTAGGACATAATTTAACCGAGAATTCGGCTGAAGACAACTCAAAAAAGACCGTTGTCTGGTTCCCCATTGAGAGACGATGCTTGATTCTTGTTCCGCTTTGACTAGGCTGTTTGAACTTATTCGGAAAAGGGTAACAAGTTTTAGAGCACGAACACCAATTGGCCTTCTAAAATTTATTCAAAAAGATGTCTCGAATATATAAATCTCAAACCTGACGAAACACAGTTACTAACTCTCGTGTTAATGCAACGTCGAATCGAGAGCATGAAGCGGAATTTGGACCGGGTAGTAAGGGACGTGTTCATATCTGATGATTCGACATTTTCATGCATGTCCTCAACAACTGGCCAAGATTTTCCTTGGCCTCAAAGAGACCTCCGCCGTGCGAACCGTAACACTCCTTAATACACTTGGACAAATACCCATGCCTTAAATTTATTCAGTATGCTTCATACCCTCTGTCCTTACAACGATCTTGTTAGGGTGCACAAACAACTGTTCGAAAGTTCGCAGTTTGCAATTACCACCTTCAGTGAGTTACGTTCCGCCCGAAGATTTTCTCTTTTCTTGTGGTCGTTTGAAACTCCAATGTGGACATCCTAATATATTGACTGGTATGCTTATCCTGAAGAATGCATTCCCAAAACGGTACTCTGATGAAGAAGTTACTACTTGCAAGGGTAGAGAAACAGGTAAACTGTGTTGTTTGTGGCGCCAAAAGTGAATTTCACTGAATCATAAGGGCAGTGTGTGTGATTCGTTCAGCTTGTCTTTGCTGAAGGTGGTCCATCAAATCTAAAAACATCACTGAGCTCCAAAACTTCAATTACTTGTGCGTTTTAGCCTGGCAAGAGGTAGCTGGCTTTTCAAGGATTTCTTGTGCACTTTATCATGCAGAACCGCTGCAGCAAAGAATACTTACCAGGCTTGAGTGGTTGAAACATGCATCAGACACATCCATTCACGGTCTAGCTAAAAGGCGCTGTTTTTCATTCCGGGAACCTAATGAATAACATACCAGGGATATCCCACGACTTGACTGTGAAATGAAAGCGGCTGAATATATACTGGGTGCTGCTTGCCTTGTTGGGGCCCGTTGAATTCATCTTGCGGGTGACTAAAAACCGGAAGAACATGGCACTTTATTCAACCTCAACGGTATCTCGGATGTTCTTTTCTGGCCGAGCTACCTGAGTGATGTGTGCTTTTCGTTTTATACTGGCATCTCGCTAGGTTGGATTTGCAAAGGCTGTATGGCAGGTTGTGTTTGTCTCCTTGTTGTCCCAAGTCGTACTCACTTTGTTTTGGATCACTTTATCTAGGAGCATAGAGATTTTTCATTAAACACTATAATTTCTGTCATCTTTGTATATTTACAAGAAAACGTCATTCTCATTTGCTTACGGCACGCATTTACTACTAATAAACTGATGCCGATAGTGACCCTGATGACAAAGAAAATGCTCTCGCGAACACGTCCGCTTACTAAGGCAGCAGATCCATTAGGAAAGTCTACAAAGAATTCTTGTAAGTAAGGAATAATCAAAGTGTGACTTTTTCTTGAGAAATCACTTTAAGGAAGACAGGTCAAACCCGTATTCTTTCAGCACTGGCCTGCGACCACTAACGGCACTACGAGTTGGTGGATACTACATTAGTGTTGTCATTTGACTGTTATTTGAATAAACACGAATATGAAAAAAACAGAAGAAACCCTGTCGCCAGGGTAAGGAAATTTTGGAATTTTAATGGAGATTTAGTCGGGTAAGTGGAATCAGTTTATATTGGAAAACTGAGAAGCCGCTCAACCGCTTGTGGTCGATCGGCTGGTTGTCCAGATTACCAACCGGGAGGTCGCGGTTTCCAGACTCCCTGGGTTTTCGTGAGGTGCACACTAATGTTGATTCTTCATGAGGACGAAACAGCTGTGTATTGCTTCGTAGTTTTCTAGCGTTGAGTAGCTTTACTTACAGAACAAAATCACCAATGAACTATAAAACTCTTTCTCTGACCTTTTTGAATTCTCATAAATCCGTCAGAGTGAATTTTTTATTGGCTCATAAATGAGTTTGGGCATTCCAATGATAAAGGTTAACTGAATTTAAAACATGCATCAATTTTGTGCGTGCTTTTTGTCACGCCTTTGGAAAAAAATCGGCCGATTGATTGACCGAACAAGTCAACAGGAAATCAAAGTGAAGGTCACGCGTAGCAAATACTGCTGAGAACTATGCTTGCAAAGAGGTCGAATATTTAACAAACGTATGCTTTCTAAATGTCTCTGAAGTTCTTCAACTACTTCACAATGGAAGTCATACGCCGACTAAATTTCCACGTGAACTGAAAGAACTTTCCTGACGAGCTTGCCAGAAGCTCTTCATTAGCACATTACTGATTATGTCCTCCTACGGCTTATTAGGTGGGCCTAGTTAAGAGCCTTCACCAGTCCACTGTTCCGCTTTTACAACAATTTGTGCGCAAGTAACGATATATATACTGATTTAAAAACCAAGTGCAGAAGACTTAACTGAAAGTGCTGTATAAGCACATGATTAGTTTAAGTATTTTGCACACTTATTTTACAGATAAGTATATTTCGCTACTTGTGTGTTCAAGTGTAAGGTTGGTGAAATCTCAGGGACTAAGTCTCCTTGATGAGCCTCAAGACGGGCAAAGAGGGTGTGAGTTTGCTGAAGAGTTATCAGTACATTTATATGTAGTGTATTCTGTTTGGAATGAACTTTGTGACCTTTGTGTCTCGGATTATCAACGTTATCAAGTAGCTGGTTCAGTGAATGTACTTGACGGGATAAAGCCTCAACGAAAAAGGAGGAAGGGTTCTTTTATATATGCTGTCCTTGGCTCAGCAATATCATTCAGATATTCTTTGCAACAGATGCATTTAGAAACACCATACGGTATGTCTTGCTAATAATGAGTGATACACTTGATTTCAGGCCCTCTTAAGACGCCGTAAGTTGGATGATAACGAAGAACACTCTGCACCAAATTCCTCCCCGGAAATGAACCTGCCGGAAATAGAACGGGGTTTTCATAGAAATCGATTCAGATCACACCCCATTCACTCTTCAGAACCATGGCCCTGGCCAGAGTCACATGCTGGCCGCCCAGGCCATCCGCCGCATCTTCCAGTTACAAGACGACCCCCCACGAATTCTTCGTATGCACGAAAATCATGGCGTCAGTTCCGATCACTGTCAGATGACCATGATCCCCGTTTATTTTATGCAGAACAAATAGATTTAGATGATTTCCGCGAGGATTCAAACGATACCGCACCATCTCAAGATGTCCGAGTATCTGGCCCGAACCGCTGGTTTCGAACATCTTCACTGTACAATATCCACCAAAAAAGACCTATCCGAGGTAGACGACCGCGGGGTTCGGCAAAGAGCAGTTGGGATTTGAGAAATCTAGAAGTATCTCCGAGGTACTTAGAGGACGAACAGTTTAAAAGAGGAGATGGAATCCGATTTTGCTCAGCTCGTTGTCAACGCTTTCCAGTTGATCAGAGTTACCAAGAATATACCGCCCGCTGTGGTTCTATGCCCTGGGATGAAGTTACGCATCGCGGCGCCGCTGCGCCTTACTCAGTATTCACAAAATTTGGGCACAGGTTTCGGGACCAGTTTGAAACTGAAGTGCCTGGTCCAATCATCAGAGCATTTTCTTCGTCTTCAAATGACGACAAGTACAGCTATTATGTACCAGATATTTTTACTGAACAACGATTTAGTAGTGGGCAGGTTATGCTACCAACACGTAAGCCTGGGTATTATAGACCCCGAAGCAGAAGCGCAAGCCCACATCGACCCCAGCACCAATATGGCCCCAGAGTTGTACCAACAACTTGGGCCTCCCGCTTATTTGAGTTTGACAATCAAGTAGCTCCGGAAGCTCAAGGTTACTGGCCTCCCAATCCAAGCAGAACACATCGATCGCTGATCAGGCACGCTGGTCATGGAAGTGTCGGCAGTCGAGTATGCCTCACGATAAAATAAGTGTTGTTCCGCCCATAATATATGTCAAACAGCAGCTGCTCTCTGCTCTGTAATATGTCTTGATTTTCATGTTATGAATGTCGGACGTTGTGAATCTTTTGTAGTGAGCACAATTTCGTTGTAACTCACCCATTCTGGTTTAGTTCCTAGAACCCATTCATTCTTTTTGTGGTCATTTCGCAGCACAAAGCGCACACTTCCGGCCATCCAGTTCACTCAGTGCCCGAAATCCGTAAGTTTCCTACTCGCATTCAATTCGCGGTTTTAGGCACTCAATGACAAATCTTATGATATTCCATTTTTTCTGTGGAGAGGTTCAGTCAACAATAACGACATTAATTCATCTTCAAGAATTTTCAATGTTATTGTAAGCCTACGGTCAAACACGTTTCAGCCATGTTCATTTTTGTGCGGCTTCTCATAGGTTCTGATAAGTTGTTCGACAATATCAAATCTTCCGAGATGCGTTTTGATAAAGCCTGAATCTGCAGTGGCGATGTTGTTACAAAAAAACGCCATCCATCTCAAACATTTATCACTGAATGCGCATAGAAAGTTCGGTTCATCTGCCGCTTGACTTTAGCTTAGTGGTGACAGGGGCAAGTCTGGATTTAGACAACTTGGATGACATCCGTCAGTGCGTACGCATCATGGCAAATGACTTACACTGGAAAGTCGTGTTGCTATTTTGTCTGTCGTACATTAAACTGCCTACGTTACGCGCATTACATTGCACCCGAAGTAGAGTCGGTTTAGATGAGTGCTGCAGATTTCAGTGGAGGTTTCGTCTTGTAATTGAAGTTAATCTATACCGAAAAGCACAAAAGAATTGCAGGGCTGTTTTGCCCTCACTGGAAGTCATAAGCGGCGCTCATTTTATGAAGCTCCTGGAAGGCGCGGATTTCTTCGAATTCTGAACTGCACACGAATCAGTTTCACTGGTACCAACAGAAGTAACAATGCACCGAAACGCGCAACATTTCCTTTGTGGAATCGAAGTGTATTCGTATATCCAAATGTCGCCCATACAGGCAACAGCCTTGACATCTAAAACTGCCGATGGTTCCAAAAAAACAAATAGAATAGAGAGCCATTTCTAGAAATTTATTTAGTGCGATTTGTCTGTTTTCGGGACCATTGTTATTCCAAGTTTGGCTACCAAAAACCTCTACGTGATTCATGAGTTACCTTTCCACTTTTCAGAAATCCACCAAGACTCTGAGACATCTGGGCCACCACGACGAACTCGGTCAAAGCATATGGATCTCCGTGGATATCATGAGGAATTACGGCCAGAACTAACTCCTCAGCATTTCAAAATAACAGAACAACTAGTCGACCCATGTTCACAACAACCTAAATTTGTGCATGCTCCTAAAAGCTCAGTGGAAGGTAGAAGAAAATTGCAAAATACCACTGCACTGCCCGGAACAGCACCTTTTCTATCAAATTACCCTTCTGAGCCCCCGTTTCCTTCCACTAGCGGGACTCACGATACTACCCACATAAACACATCTTCCAGAGTGCCACAGGAATTAACCCAACCCGTCCCACCACCGGTAGCACTTGATGAGTTCCAACGATCATATCATAAAGGTAAGCTTCACCAGTTCAGTACTTTGGATGCGCTCTCATTTCTAAATCCTGACCAGCTTACTTGATATTAGCGTTCATTTACTCATCATTAATTTACTTCCTCATTTACTTGATCTGCTATGGGACATTTCCTATTGCCCTAAATCAGAGAAGCTATTGACAACCGAAAATCCATCATTTTAATCCATCCAGATGGTGGTGATCAGTCTAGTACCTATGGTCTCCCTGTGCAACAGCGGTTTCAAGATACAAAGGCCTTGCGGTTTGTTGTTGCCTTATATGCTTACGACCCCGCAACCATGTCCCCGAACCCAGATGCTGTTCAGGAAGAGTTGCCTTTCCAAGAAGGTCAAATCATTAAAGTAAGTTTGTCAGTCCTTTTTCATTGATTCCCTAGTCATTCTACCAGTTACGATGTGGATTCTCACTCACCAATTCACTTGAGCTATTGTGATTATGACTACATGTCTTATTTCTTGAGATGTCATTGTCTCTTTCACCAAATGTGTAAGCTGTATACAGAAGAGAGCTGGAAACAACAATGGATCGACGGACAGAAAACAGCAAAATTTGGCGTGGTAAGACCACGTAACCAGCTGCGTTGTACACATAAATAGCTTCACTAACAGAAAAAAGGTGAGTTCTGGTTACAACAGCAATACGTAGGACGAAAACTCCCGATCGACTCGTTGACCAGTGTGAATTAAGCGCATCCTCGGCGGAGATAAGAGAATGCTGGAGCTACTAATAAATATGATTAGCTAATTTAATGCCTATGCAGGAAGGTTCCGCTTATAGTCTAGCAAAGTCACTGTTTCGTAGCAATATATTTGACTTGAAGCCGATGTCTGCCTATGTTTGGTGTCATTCGTCCACCTGTTACCAAAGAAGTGTAGTAATGCTTGAAAAACTTTCTTCCGCGTTGCTTGCATTACGGTCGGTTTCGATGAAGGTTTCATAAGTGATAGTAAGGATGAATTTGTCACTTTTGGCTACCAGTTTTTTGGCCCAGAAAACTGCCCATTGCAAGGCCATTGACAATGTTTGGAATTTTTTTGAGATTTGACCTGACATTTTCCCATATTTAAGACACTCAACTGGCAGACGAAAGCCGGTATTTTATTACAAATATTGTCCCAGAATTACTAATATGACAATTTGGGGGTACGTTGATGAAGATCGGGTCAACATAAGCGAAAACTTTTTCTCCGTTTTTTTTTTCAGTGTTCTCGAAATTAATGGGAGTTAGCATTTGCGTACTACATAACCAACGTGCAATTTTGTCGACCATAAACATAATTCACCTGTATTTTCGGGGGCTATCTCAAGCTTTGGGTCTCTGTATCAACTGGATTCACTGATCCACACTTTTCCTCTTTGATGTAACCGTGAACCCGCAGAAAAGAAAGTTCCATGAAATTTGCCTTCTGCCAAGTTGGCTGCTACGAGCTAATTGATCGACTTCAAATTCCCATCCTTTTGACACATTTCTTTATTGACTTCTCCCGATCTTTTATCGGGGTGGAAAAATGACGAGTGACGGCAGACATGCACAACAGCACTACATCCTTCCAGCAATTGCGAAGTTGCCTCTCAAGACTGGAGCCAATGTTACGGAACTATTTTGTCTATTGATAAGATTCTGCTGCAAATCGGTCACCGAATCTATTTGAAGTCTTCTTTCCGAGTATTTCTGTGTAACCGAGACGGAAACCTGAAGTCTCTCATTGAAATCATGTTTAATAACGTTTATCAACCAGTTCTCTATGTCCCAACGTTCCGGAACAGCACATCTGGTTTCGTGGCTCTGAACACTTGACACATCTTTTCGGCTATTTATTGGTTCATACATGTTACATGCCTTCTATCTATGATTTGTACGTTTCGCGTAACAAGTCTACCAATATTCCTCGAAATATGCCCTCTATCCATACTGATGCAGTAGATTAGAATTGCGCAGTTCTTGGGGCGGGTGCACTTGGAGAGGTTAATTTACACGTCACGTTTGTCTGATGGTCCAAAACTCAGACGCTTATCCATACGGTCACAAATTCTGTAAGAATGGTGAAAGAACATCACATAAAAGAGGACTATATTCAAATGGCCTCTGTAAATCAAAATGTATGATGCAAAAGATCCCCAAAAATCAAATGTTAGCGAAAAACAGAGCTGTACCATTTACGACAGGGAGGGCATTATGGAGAGTATTGAAACATTAGGTTAACCTTCACACTGTCTGAAACTGCCGTAGTAAGACGAAAGGAAAACTGAAAAAAACCGGCACTCTTCAACAGTATTGTCAGCATCGACGCTGAGCAGCTTAGTTACCATATATGAGAGAACCCTCCGAGGACACTTCTCTCTTGATTCAAGTTCCCAATATGGCCGTAATTTGTATAGTTGTAGCCCAGACCAGCATTCTAACATGGGGGAAAGTATGACTGCACTCAATAAAATCCTGGGCGTTCTAGGCTTCATTATCTTTCCTAGTCGTAAAATCATCTCGTTTCCAAATATATTCTATTTTTGGTTGTGCGCAGACAGTGCGCAGCTCACGTCTAAAAATGCATGTGTTCAATAAACTTCAGCCCATCAGAACATGCTTGCAGCCTGTGGGGTTTTATTTTGTGGCGCACAGCATTCTACGTTAAACCAGCCAAAGTGCTTCCAGCCTCTAGTTTTTGTGTCATCCAGTTAATAAGTCTCTGATGACTGTTTGCTGGGCTATTTTTCACGTCTTTCTTACTGCTACTGGGTGGGGCGAAGCAGTAAAACGTGGTGTTGAAAGTGAATCCATATTCGATCATTTGAGCGCCAAGTCATTATTGCAGTACAATTATCTCCCTTCGAGAGTTTCTTTTTTGCAACCTGCTGATCTGTCTGTACGAGATTTTAGGTCTTCAGAAGTCATAGGGTCATCTTCATTTATCTTCCCAATGTATATTTCAATCAAAACAATCTTCGTAATCGAACCGAGTACTCTGGTAAACTTTATACCTTTTCATACTCAGATATTCGGTGACTGTGATGAGGATGGTTTTTATTACGGAGAATGCAATGGGCTACGCGGTCTGGTACCGTCAAATATGGTGTCCAAACCAGAGCGAGATATTGGTCCAACAGATTCAACGTACCCTGGTACAAGCAATCGAATGGAGCAGGTCATGAACCAGGAGCGGCCACGATATCCTGAAGGGCCATCGCTTCCACCGGGTCAGCTTAGCAGGCCGCGGCACAGACATTACGGAACCATGCACGCATCGCATCAGAATGTACCATCACACCAGATTTCTGATACAATGACCGGTAGACCATATGGGTCAACATCAGCCATACAAAATGTGAGGGTCTAAATATTTGGTTTCAGATAGGTCGACCTCGTGTTTGATTGGACTGGGTGTAATGCTACTGATTGTCAACTCCATCCAGCAGAACTACCCAAGTTATTTTGAAAAAAAACATTTGTGAGAAATTCTTGATATCATTGAGATCAGGGGAACCCAACTGTTATTACTTTTGATCAGCATGCCTACCTCCACTTGACTTTCGTGTATCATTGTCAATGCGATCGGTAAAATATCATTTCACTTGTTCCACAATCCGTGCCCACGAGGTTTGAGCTAACGAAGCTAAAATCAGTTTTGAAGAACAAGGCTTTGAGGCGAAGAATGTTTTTTAGAAATAATCATTTTTAAGCTGATTGGAACGGTAAAATATCAGTTGTATCACAATTGATAAGACCGATGGAAGTAGTCGTCATTGCAATAATTGTCAGCTTCAGGAACTTGTACCGCGGTTCAGTTCAAAAGAACGCCTGTGAGTTGCGAACCTCACTTGGGCTATTTGATTTGGATATTTGAATCGGAATGCCCTGCATAGAGTTTTCGTAATATCCGATCACCTGAATGTATATAAGGTATATACACAATGGAAGACTGATAGATTAGTTTCATAGAACCTCTCTTAACGGGAGCTCCCTCCGTGGCAAGGTGTTTTTTCTAACTCAGTATCTGAGGTAACCTTTGAAATCTTGGGTCCTTTCGATCCGTTTCGTCAGACAGTGGGGAGAAAATTTTCGAGATGTTGACACTCCAAATTACCTCCATTAATCACATATAGGGAACAGTCAAAATCCATTGGTCAATGACATAATAAAAACATTTGTTACATGAAGACGCACTATTCTGAGGAAAGGAGCGGTTCGGTTTCAGTCCTAGGGCAGTCGGATAGCTTCATTCATTCGGACCGAAAGATACTGAGTCCAATTTCTCAAAGAACATTTACATTTTTTCGTTTTTTTGGGGTTTTGAGATTTTGCTTCTTTTAAACCTTCTTTTTGGGTGCCGAAGCGCAATTCATATCACATATGCCAGTGGAGTTTACCTTTAGAAGCATAACAACTCCCAGCCTTCTCGTCAGCGGGAGTTCACGCTCNTAATGATCCACCATTTGATCCATGGTGATGTGAATAGATTTGACAATATTCAGTACAGATTTCATCTTATCAGTGAATCCGATCTACGCTAGAAAGCTGAGAATATACTGTACATATTTGAGTGAGAGATACACCCTGTCTGAGTAAGAGCTAATCACGCTGCATACACAGCTACTCGTAGCCTAATGATTAAGTACTCAACCAGTAACCGGAATTTCATAAGTTCCATACACTCAGTTTCCCGAGATTTGCACTGCTAAGGATTCCCCACAAGAATGAAACAGCCGTGCAATGCTCCTCGGCTTTTCAGCGTAGATTGGCCTCACTGACAAGATGAAATTTCTATTGGGTTAACCAGACATCTCAGAGTGACATACCAATGTGATACTTCCATCTTGGCGCCAGAATCCCTGAGAATCCGGGGAGAAATTCGGGCCCCGCACTGAATCACAAACACAAGGGTAAACTACTTGCGCAGGGCACAAACGGATCGCTTTTTTTTCTAAAGGAAAAGATTGCAACTGATACTTGAGTCCAATTCATGTATCCCCCTAGAAGAGGTTAGAAGATTTTTTATCCAGATGATTCAAAGAATTTTTCCCTTATATTGGATTTTCCGTCGATGTGTCTTTGCCATTTAGGGAGTGGCATTTGCAGCACAGTCACATTCTAGAAGATCCCCGCTGGATAATCCACCCCTCCCACAATGCAAATCTACCAACACAGTTGCGAACTTATACGCCCAGGAGGACCCCTGCTACGACTTTTCCAGACAACCATCCATGAGAGAACCCTCATTAAGAACATCCCAACAGCCGATATCTCGACAAATGAGGGCTCCACAACTGGCTGGTGCCAATGACCCGGGAAAACAATCTCTACCAGGCATGTCTAGGCAGATGGTGGCCCTCTACGACTATGATCCCAGTGTACTCAGTCCAAACGCAGATGCTGATGTAAGTATTTACATCGATTGGATTGCCTAACGTTTTACTTGTGACCGTTCGCTAATGACTGGAATTGATTCCTGCATATTATTATTAATAAAACGTTGAGTGATTCTATTTAACTGCTCCACCAGAATCTGAGTAAAATTATGAAAAGGGGGTTTACAGTGTCCTGTTTGTAACTTGATGAATCGTTGATCTAAAAATCTTGCCGCGATAATATTCCTTATTCCTAACTTGAAGTTAGTTTTGAAGCACTGTGACTGAGAATGTTGCAAGACCAAAAACAGTGCGACTTTTTGATTTGGCCATTAACTGGAACTTCCCTAGAATTCGCTGAATTCTCGGTAAACGTACAAAAGCTCTGTTTATTCTTATCTTATCTGCAGACACATCATATGGAGTGATAAGTAAACATAAGCTGTACAAGATGGCGGGTGCATTCATGTTTCACTATCCTAAAAATTCAACATTCATCGCTCGTTAGGTATCATCCAAGAAGTTCCAATTCAGTGCCCCTGCAGAAAAATCACCTGCGGCGCCTGGTTCGAGCTATCAGTTCTTGGAAAGGGAGACGATTAACTCCCTTTCATTAGACGAAACCGTTACATCTGCCTGCATTCTCAGGTAATCTCTGCTTCTTTCGGAACAAAGTTCTGTCACAGTTGGCAAGAAACACCAATTGTTTACTGGAAACATACCGTTATAATAAATTTCCAAACATACCGGAGGTGGCGTATGGGTCAGTTAACGCACCTCCTGCAATCTCAGGAACGATACGACAGAGGGAGTGCAATCTTCATCTCTTAGGCCTAAATCTTAAAGGAATTTCACATTAAACTGGGTGAGCATAGCTAGCGTCATCGGCGACTTAAGATTGTCCTACATTTCTGTTACAGAAATAATCGGGTCCGATGGTTCATAGGACTAAAAGTCACTTGTTTATGGGCATGGAAATATGGGATTCAGCTCATTCCGGGACACAGTGATGGAAGATTTGCAGATTATCAAATTTTACGAAGTGGATCATACTTGCTTCAGATCTTGCCGTTTTCAATGGCATTCAGCGTCAAACCATCTCCGCTAATTTTATCAGTGGATCAATAGTTATTTAAATGTACCAGTTTGTAGCCAGGTAGCACAAAGCCACTACATTTGTCGTTGCACTGCCTCTTTCGACCCCCAAAACTTCCTCGCTGGAAATAAATATTGTGACAAATCGCATTTGACCACTTCAGAGTAGCATTCGGTTGCAACAAATAGATGAGCTCTGATCTTTTTCGTATATACGCCGTTTGCAAGTTCGTTTTAAAACAATAATCTAGCGTGGCTGCCATTGGCATATCTTCAGCAGAGCTTACACAGGTTGCAACCTATGCATCTTCTAGATGTTTATCACTTGGGGAGATAACTCAGTATACTTTTCTTGTATTTGAGTAGTCAAACACCACTGGTATCATATGTGTTTTACCCAACTAATTAATGGTCTGCGACGGTAATCCGCAACGCAGATAATCTACTTAGATTTCCTGGGGAATCAATGAGTGTCATGTGGTTTCGTAATTTTTCGGCGATAATGTGATCTACGCAACGGTCAACTCTAACGGTCTGGCAGCCTTTTGTACTGAAGGAGACAAATTGAACATGGCAAACTGAGATTTAGGGATATCTCATTTCTCGCAACGTGGCCAATGAGGACCTACATGTGCATGGCTGAAATAACAACAGCACTACCGTGCCTTTATCAGTTGATTCAGCTCACTCTCTGAATTGTTCATATTACTGTCCAGAACAGGCTAACTAACCACCATTGAATTAATAATTCAACGTCTATAATTCATCGCAGTAATTCATCGCCATTTTCCATAAGTTCACAACTTATTAGAGTTCCATCGTCGCTGGAGCTAACCAATCAAGCTAAGCTAGACGTTCGAATATCCTGAGCTGCAACAGTCAACTGAAATCAGATGATATGTCAAAAAATGCTTGTGCTTTTTAATTAGAAGAACGCATTTTGGTCCTGTCCGGAGAAAGTATAACTTAACTTTTCCGTTCCTCTCCCCAGGGCTTGGTATCAGTCCAATACTGAACTTAGAAGAACAAGTCCCATCTGGTTTCTTAGGAGGGATACTCTGCTGTGTTGAAACTGACTGGTGGAGTATTTTTCATCAAACTTTGTTTTCCTTTAGTCACATTTTTTTACGTTCACTATGCGGCAGTTTGCTGTCTGTTGGAATTCACGAGACTTAGGATTCGACGTACTTATGAAGATGAACTAAGAAAGTTTTGTCCCTAAATTCTGCTTCCCGTAAGTTTAAAAATCTCGTCTCAAAAATAAATGTCCGTACTCGGTTTGGTATTACTAGGTTAGAGCAAGTTGTCTGAGAAATAAACCGAAGGAGGATAGTAATAAGGCATCAGAACATGCATCGCCAACACACACACCCATTGATAATCTTTTATGTCCCCCTATCCCCAGACACCTTCACTCCGCATCGTCCTTCTTCAGAAGATTCGATGCCACGGAGGAACATTTTAACTGTATATTATCCCAGGCCAAGATCTTGGTTCACTATTCTTCTGTCCAAATAACAACTTGGAGCGAGAGACGTACTACGGCGAATATTCTGAACCTCGTTTCTATACGATCTTTTCCTAAACTGTGCTAAATTCAATTTTTCTGGATAAACCTTCTGGGATTTGTGTACACACTATGCATCACCAATAACAGGGATTGTTCTTCACTCATTTTGTTTAATAATGTGGTATATGGAGTGTGGTGTACGGCAAACGGTCTGTGTCCTCCAAATACATAGATTTAGCCCACTTGGATTTTGACCAGACTGACAGGAAAAGTCCTAACTTATCACATTTTTAGGATATTTTGTTTTCACGTCCATTCCATCATCATTATCATATTTTACATCAACAACAAAAAACATGCCTTACTCACGTCGATTTATCTGTGATTTCACTTCGAACGAGCAAGCCTAGACTTTCCAGCAATTAATTCAAGTTTTTTTACTGTGACTCCAATGAACAGTTTTTTATCTGTTTGATTGTGCCTTTTCTTTACAACAGGCTACGATTTTTTGTCACGCGATTACGCACGTACGCATTTCCGTTTTGTAGATGAGAATGACCACAAGACTGGCAGGACCGTCATTCATATTTATCTACCCCTTTCTGGAATAGTTAGCAAAATGTATAAGACGAGGTTCTAACCGTCCAAGAATTCGGCTTGGAGTAAATAATTCAGCAAATACCATGGACCTTCCCAGTTTTATGCTAACCACTTTCTTTCCTTGACCCTGTTCAGAGTCACACACCCCATCGTTTTTTGACAACCAAAAAATCGAGCATAAACTGAGAGATTAAGCTCGGTGCATTGATTGAATTTTAATATTGTCAGATTTTAGAACAACTACACATTGCAAACCTTTGGAAGACGAACTTAATTCTTAAACGTATGCTTGTTTTACTTTAGTACTCGTGGAAAAACGTGTTAACAAAGGTGAAGGAATAATCAATCTGTTGTTTTTAGAAATGTCTCCCTGCTAGACTTTGAGAAATGTTTCATTTCGATTCAGAGAGCTCAGGTACACCCAGGGCGACTTCAAAAAACGATGGAATATCAAAATGAATACAAAATCGTTTTGTGGATTTTTGGAAAAAATCGTCACAGTTTTACGTCTACAACCCCGAGTGTACAAACGGGGACAAAACTTTAACACAAATGGTACGCTCCACTGTTTTTTTCGGAATATTCGTCTTACTGTTTGTCTAGTCGCAAGTGCGTTTAATTCACACTAACTTCGACTATTTGCAACCCATGTGTTCATTTCAACAGAGGGAACTCTCTTTTCGGAGTGGAGAACGCATTGTTGTGTATGGCGAAATGGACGAGGATGGGTTTTATGAAGGGGAACTCTCCGATGGGCGACGTGGTCTGGTTCCATCCAACTTTCTGCGTGACATAAGAACCGATATTGACCCGATGGATAGACGGGCTTCCATAACTGCAAGAAGCAGTCAAAAACGGTCTCAAGCAGACTCCGGTAGCTTTATGAATAGTACGTATAAAAACGAAACTTCACAAGCTCCAACGGGACCATCAACATCAGCTGGTTATAGGCGAGACCAAGAAAAAGTAAATTCGTTATTTTCGATACTTGATTGTGTGGTTATTCAGTATTTTACGCCCTATGGAGCACCATATTTAGTGACAAGAGATCATGCAGCTTCTAGTGAGTGCGTTTGAAATTATACCATCATCACGATCATATCCAAGCACTTCTATCGTGGTCGAATTCGCCTAAGACCGCAGCTGATCCTAAATCTCTAGATGTCCCATAACTACACAGAATCAGCTGAGTGCTGACTCTGTCCATACTTCCGGATGACCTTCCTCTGGAGGTTATTACTCTGATGCCTATTTCATCCTCTCAAAACAACCAATATCATCATAACACCAATCTGTTTTTACGCTGGAATGGACGCGTCTTAGTGAACGTCCAGCTCCCCAGCGGCACCTATGTGGTCGATCCATATGAGAAGTCACAAATCCTCACATGTAAATATATCCATTCATAAAATTGCCTGGGCTGTAAGTTTTCCACAAACACCACCAGAAGCGACTGCAGTTATCTCCCTCGGGTTTGTTTACTTTGTTTTTAATTTGATTGCTAAAAATACGCAACAGATACGTAGGATGTGGTTTTACTCACAAACTAGTACCACATACAATTATTCTAAAACAGTTCAGTTTCAGTTCAGTTCACGGCAGTCCCGATTAACCTATGAACGGCAACCCAACTTTTCCTAGCTCTTGGTTGTGAACCACAGCAACTTGCAGCAAGTGATATCTTCGGTTGACGAAACGTCAGTGACCTGCAGTCCAGAGTGCAGCTCGGGCGCAGCAAACCAAGCACTCCTCCTGACCAATAGTTACTCTTCCAGCAAAGTGACGCTGTGCGTGTGTTATGCAGTGGAACTGTAAACTTTAAAAATTAGCCTATATGCTAAACCCGCCAGGCGCTATTGTTTAGACGGATGGGTATAGTCAACCGGTCAATATGAATCAATGGCTAGACGAAGAAGTGAATAGATTCGTAGAGTTAAGCTGATGTTCTGGCTGTCAGCTAAACTGGAATCACTCGAATTATCTGTAACATCTTCAGGCTGAGTATGAAAGCCGCCATTTTCCAGGCATCGTATCGTTATATCGGAGCAATAGCCAGTGGCCAGTCGCCCCAAATCGAACTTAGGGTAACCTGTACGATTAGGAAACTCGCCGCCAGTTGACATGCAAGAGGATAGAAATTCCAGTCTGAAAAGGCGATAAGGTGATAGCCATATCCGAAGAAATTGTGATCCAATCTTGCGGAGACAGCTTTGCTGATGCCTAGCAAATGGGCCGAAGATAACCAGAATCCTAGAAAAGTTATATATGTGACCAGCTTTCTTGACGCGTTCGTGAAGTCCCACCAGATATGCACAAAATGTTTTGAATAATGCTGCAGAGCCCCCTTCATATGATTCCCATGACCTCCTGCTGTGATTATGGGCTTTCTTATCACGACGCCATACGATTTTCCAAGATGCCATGCGAGACTAACTCCATGAGTACTGTCCTTTTCCCAGAGGGTAACCTAATGAAAAGAACAAAGTTGTGCCAACCGCTGAGTTAAAAAGTGATTTGTGGAATTCAACCATCATAGAGATTTCGCAAATATGGCACATATTTATCCCATGCATCCTGTGAATACAATGAACTGCAGGGAATAACCATTCACAAATAGTGATGCACTCATAATCGCGACCAACGAGAACCGTCCAAAGTGACCGCACGGTGCAAGCACTTCACGTAGCTGCACCTAACTTAGGAGCGTCACATTTGTAACGGTTCTACCCACGCTACAGCCCTGAATACGTATAAAATTCGCGGCAACATTATAGGTCCAGGACAGGTTAGCAGCAAAAGTGAGCAGGAAATTCCGTAAACTCGTGCTTCTTGAAGGTTCTGGAATGATGGCACCAACCATGCCAGAAATTCTTCACCTACTTTGAATGCTAACCTGAAAGGTTCCCGAGTAGATTTGTCTGCAGAATGTGTAGAGCATCAAATGTCACAAGAGTGTGCTGAGGTTTGATGCTGCTTTCTTATTTCTCAGGCAGAGTAAGATGGGCCTTTGTTTGGAAAGCGTAAGGATGTGAGGGTATTTTGAGAAGCTTAGACCCCTTCTGGTTCAAAGAGTAAGACGGCGTCGGCTGAAGCCTTCTCGAAAGCCTGTGTCTCAAGCCCGAATGCGATACGGCGGCTTACTCATGTCCAGAAAACAAAGTAAGGCTGATTGATAGTTGCCGCAGAACACATATCGTCACTTCACCGGTGGCAAGGGGAATGCAACCAGCAATCTTCACGCCCATCTTATTTAACTTTACCTTCTTCGGAAGAAAACCAGATGACTGCATCTAAGGATACAGTGATCCATACCGACTTTAGTGTGACAAACGAAACTAATGTACAAATCTCGAAGGCTAGTGTCGTGTTCTCTGATTCGAGACAACTACGTTAGTAAAGCGGTGTATCACTGAATTCAAAGGGGCAAATGTACCAGGATGCCGTAAGGGCTGTTTTGTAGCACGGCTGCGAGACCTGGCTTCTGCTAATAGTGGAGCTGAGATGCCTTCAGGTTTTCGGTAATCGTTGTCTCAACCGTAGCCCGTTTAGGGCGGTACTGGTGAATTTCCAACGAAACAAACAGAAAACGTGTTCGATTGTGCATCGCTGACTTCAGTCGAAGTATTTCCAGAGCCGAAAGCTGCGCACACCGAATCCTCGTTCACCAAAGGGATTGGCTTTCTGTGCTCAATTCAGAGTGGCGCATGTGGACACGCAGGCAATCTGTGATCTGACAGAGGTATGAAGGCGATTACGAAAAGTCTGGTTACTGTCGGTGCAGTGTGTCTGGCAGTGTGGGCACCTCAGAGCGATCGTAATGAGCTTGTGTCAAGTCCCTTCTTATTCACTTTTATTGTTTTTCACCATAAGATTTTCAAGTAAATTATGATTGTATGGTAGCGCGGCATCAGTCTTGAACTGCTGTGGTATTGACACTAATGATGCGGGAAATACCTTGCTACTTTGCAACTCCCATTACGGAAAACACAACACTGCTGCCGATGGCCTCGTGCCTGCGCTGTGAACCCAGCCGCACAACTGCTAATAACCAAGGATAACCTGAAACCTAAGAAACGAAGTCCCAGTTAGTGTGGCCGACGATACTGCTGCATTGCTCAAGCCCGATAACTACATTCAATTGGTAACCCTTGGTCGGATGTTAAAATTCATCTTGGTAACAACACCGAATTAAACCTAATCAATGGCAAGGCCGCTCAAAAGTATATATATATATATATATATATTATATATATATATATATATATATACATCAGTAATCTGAATAGTCTGTGTTGAAGGCATGGCGGCTGAGCGAATAAAGA